ATTCTGTTCGAGAAGTAATTGACATCAAATTGTTTGACCACTGAGCTCTCTTAAAACGTCATCAGTCTACAAATTGTTTTAGAGCTACAAAATCCAGAGGTGAAGTAACAACGTGGAGCGCTTTCCTATGACGTACAGGATTATAACACTGGGAATTCTGCTTGAGCGGATGATAAATACATAACGATTCTACTGTTGATTTTTTCACTGAAGATGGATCATATAACTTTCTTACCCCCAACAATTTAAGCATGAAAATTGACAAATTTAAAACCCAGAGCTTATGGGGAGAAGAGGAAAATATAAAACTCCAGAGCCCATGGGAATAAAAGGAAAATATAAAACTCCAGAGCTCATGGGGAAAAAAGGAAAATATAAAAGCCCAGAGCTCATGGGAAAAAAGGAAAATATAATACCCAAAAGCTCATGGGGAAAAGGGAAAATAAACTTGAGCAGGAGGAAAATTCATTATAATACATTAAGAGGTCTTTGAAGGCGCATGTTATTGTCTCCGCATATATTATCGCCTTTACAAATATTGTCGATGACGATATAATGTGCAAAATTGCTGGACATGTTCTCGCGGATGGTGGGGGGTTGGGTTGGTTATACGTGCATATGATATCGCCGACGACAATATGTTCAGACCCTAGCCGCACATGTAGTCATGACCTTAGAGTTCACACAATGATAATGCTGATATCTTTAGCATTTGAAATAACTTAAAAAATTTATCGATTAGTTAATGAATAAATTCAATGACAGATTTATTGTCAATGACAACTGAATAAGCTATTTCAGGGAATTTTTGTCCCCCGCTTAAGGAAAAAAGAGAATGTTGGAAGACTGGAACGCAGACGGAGAAAGAAAAATAAGGTCGACCTTGACTTTCAGCTATTGACCTTAAACTCATAGGGGTCTTTTTTAAATGAAAGAAATTCGTGACCTTACCTTTCATTGCAAAGAGAGAGAATGAAGAGAGAAGTTATCATCTGAAAACTATATATACAATATATGAATTTCTGACCTTGGTCTTTGACTTTTGAACTTCAAAATCAGTAGTGGTCTTTTTGACTAAAGGTATAAGAATTTCATTGCAAAACCTCAAAGAAAAATAGTTATATCATCATTTTATGCAAGATATGAATTTTTTATCTTGAAATTTTGAACTTAAACTCAGTAGAGGTCTTTTTTAAGTCACTGCGAGTTATGATAAAAGATTTCATTGAAAAAGCTCAAGGAAAATTAAAGTTAGTATCTGGAAACCATTTTTTTCAATGTATGTATTTCTGGTCTTAACCTTGGACCTTTTGACCTAAAAATCAATAGGGGTCTTCTTGAAGTCACTGAGAGTTATGATATAAAATTTCATTGAAAATGCTGAAAGAGAAATACAGTTATTATATGTCGTTCATTGTCTGGACTAAAACCATTTTTTACAATATAGGAATTTCTGACCTTGACGTTTAACCTCTGACCTCAAAATCATTAGGAGTCTTTTTCAAGGTATTTAGAGTTATAAAATTTCATTAAAAAATCGAGGAAAACTTGAATAATCATCTTTGAAACAATTTTTGCAATGTATGAACGACCCTGACCTGCGAACCTTTGGCCTCAAAATCAATATGATTTTTTTATAAACCATAGGGAGTTGTATAAAATTTCATCGCAAAAGCTCATACTATTAAGGATTTTTGAGATATCGCACAGAAACGAAGTGTTGCACATAGTCGGAATGTATGGAATTTCTGACCTTGGCCCTTTGACCTTCTCACCTCAAAATCAATATTGGTCATTTTTAGGCACAGGGAGTTGTGATATTAAGTTTCATCGAAAAAAAAAGCTCAAAGAAAACTAAAATTATAATCTGGAAACTATTATTTGCAATGTATGAATTTGTGATCTTAACCTTTGACCTCAAATACCTGTAAGAGTTTATTATAAATGTCTCACGTAATTTATTATTCAGAGGTGCTGTCAAGTGATGAAGGAATGAAATATATTATTAAATTGTTGTAAGCTAAACCAAAATTACTATTTATGTATGATAAGAATGTAAAATGGTTTTAACGATCAAAATATTTTAGAAATCATAATGAAATACATGTACGTTTTGAATTTTTAAGAGTTATTTTCTGTAATATAAGGGGTGAAGCAAACATGATCACGTATTTCCCCCAAACTTTGTATACGTGAAAGCTTTCTTCAAGAAATAATTTTAGGATTTCCGGGATGTTATAAATGAACGATATCTACTGCAACGGGTCTCTTCACAAATTTGAAATCTTGCTGCGTATTCTTGCGGCAGTGTGGAATTATGTTTATTTCTGAAACTTCTCATATATACCAAAAATTCTATGGGAAATATACCTAATTTACTATCAACATGTTAGAGAAAAAGTGAAATTCATATTTTTACATAATGGATTTTCATTGATTCCCCTCCCCCCCCCCCCCCCCCCCATATGTTTTGAACATACATGCACCAGTTCTCGCTGCCATATGTTCTCCCCTCATATCCCCCAAATTCTGCCGATATATAGTACACTATAGAAAACAAAGCTACTTTATGGATGTGCTCCTCAATACTTGCGTCTGATGACTTTTTTTGGCTTGTCAAAGAATGTTTGCTCGGTAGTGCCCATCCAAACAGAAAATGTTTGGTTATCCATAGCAATCAAATGTTTGAATGATGAAGACCTACTTACGCATGAAGTTTCGAGAACGTCCGGGATCATGCGTGCCAAAAAATATGCTCCTTTAAAATAATTTACATGGCAACATTCTTTGAAAAAGCACATCTTCGACGACATTATGTGCCAATGGTTGATAGTTTGTGGAGTGCAGTTTTGCACATAAGGTCGCCAACAACAATTGGACAAGAAACAAAAATATGGTTGTCCAGCAAGTTTCATCTATTTGGTGTCGGGGGGGGGGGGGGTTGAAGAAATGAATCTTTGTTTACCAATATGTGATTCTTGTGTGTATTTTCTTCACATAACTTGACATACATGTACGTGTCACATAATGAAAATTATTTATTAACGAACCTGAAATATATTTTTTACTTACATATCATCGTCAAATACACAAATTTTTTTTTATTACTTATCAGTTGCTGAGAGCCGGTATAAAAGACGTTTAAAAAATTGATTGAAATCAACTTTCAATGGAATGTTGTGAATCCACAGTCCCAGTAATTAAAAGACCCCTTTTATGAATGATATTTACATTATAATGAACTCGTCCATTTTGTTTTTGTGTCTTTGTAAAAGTTTTATCTCTATATATACACCGTCCATGTTTGAAATTAAACTTACTTAACTGCTTAAAGATTTTTAAAATATTTCAAATACAATTTAATGTTAACTGTTATGAAATAAAACATTTATCACTTCTGGTTGGATTTTTCCTTATTCTTAGTGATTAATTACATTTTAATAGCCAATCCGAACTTGCAGGGAATTATTTATCTAAAATGTCAGTAAACTGAGGCATAATCTCTTTCTCTCTATAAATATATCAGGCGCGGATCCAGGAATTTTTTCCAGGAGGGGGGTTCCACCCCAGTCAAAAAAATTCCAACCTAGAAATTTCTTGACAAGGAAAAAAAATTAACTTCTTTCCCAAACTATCCTACCCAGAAAATTTCTTGATCAAAAAAAAAAAAAAGCTGTAAATTTTATACAATTGCTTCAATATATACTTTAAATAACTCTGCAAATTTTAAGGGAGGGGTCCGGACCCCCCCCCCCCCGACTCCCCTCTAGATCCGCGCATATATATATATATATATATATATATATATATATATATAAGGAAATAAGACAATTCAGCAAGAGTTTAATTAACACTACAAATGCTTTATTAGAAGCTACTGAACAGGGGAATTGGAATCCTTAGTCTTATAGTAAATACTAGTACGCATCATGACATGGAAATGAAGAGATATCTGCATATCATAATCATATCAAACACCTCAAGAATCATTAAAATTAGGATAAATATAGAATACACTATTTTACTTCTTCACTTTGACACAAAACCCATTGTGACATCACAGCAGTGGGACATGTAAAAAATATCCAATCCACGGGGATAAAGGAGTTAACATGTGATAAATACAATAATCTATTAGATAAATTTATTTACTCATCTTCTTAAAAAAAAAATAACCCAATAGACAGAAATCTCCTGTATTGTGCAGCTTCTTTATTTCAAAAAGAGAATAAAGTATGATGAGTTTGTCTTTTATGATTACTTATCCCCATGATTATATACATATACTATGGTCACTTCGTTGCAGAAAAATATTTCAAAAATGTATCAATAGATTCACTTTGAAAAATTGTGTATTATTTTTTAATCTAACATACTGAAAATGCAATTGGTCATATGTGCATATTACTACAAATGCACATTACAACAATTAACTATCACTCAATTACTACATATTTCACATGAAAACTGTTTATCATTCAGACTACCTTTAACTAGGATCACTTGAAACAAATTTTCTAACAATATTAAAAGTACTATTCACACATCATCTTTGTATTATCACACCATATCTGTTTTATATGGTAACAAGTCATCTTTGTATTATCACATCATATCTGTTTTATATGGTAACAAGTCATCTTTGTATTATCACATCATATCTGTTTTATATGGTAAAAAGTCTATATTCACCAAACAAAACAAAATCTTGCATATACGAAAAGTACATGTACACAATATCTACAATACTCAATTTTCACTGAGTGATACATGTACATGGCTATCAGATCAATTCTTCTTGGTAATGATGGAATATATAATTATAAATAAATAAATAAATAAATATATATATATATATATATATATATATATATATATATATATATATATATATATATATATATATATATATATATATATATAACTTATATATCAATATAATACATACATGTATATTTTTGTCAAATTCTATTGAAATGAGATCTTTATTCAGTAAATTAAGTATGATGTTTTTTGGCAAGGATCTACTTTGAGCTAATAATGAGGAAATAAAATTCCTCATGAGAATAAATAAACCAAAAAGCCTTTAAAACAATAAAAAATGCTGGACTTTTAAAAGAAAAAAAAGCTTTTCTAAAAAATAAAATGATCTACCATGAAAAATTGTTCAATACTGATTGTACATTGATAAATAAAATGACAGTGTTAAGAATCAACACCATCTAAGTGTATCTCCTCTTCTGACACTCCATTGACCTTGACCTTGCTGTTTGGGTCAGGGACAGTCACAATATGGTCTTGCAGTGGTTGGTTGTTGGTTTCTGGGAGACATAACATCAGAAATCCACACAACAGAGCAAGACCCCCAAACACAGCAAATGGTAGCACATCTAACGAACCTTTACTCTGAAATAGTTTAATGAAATTTCTAGTGTGCTACTGATATTAAATTCAACTTGCACAGTCTTCTCTCATGTACAATCACTACATTGCTACATCATACACACATTAATTTTGGTTGAATATAATTGCAAAATAATATTGTTAAGCATGGTGGATTTTGTACAACTAAACTTCAAGAATTAGGTTTTGTTGAAACAACAATTCCTGTTTTCCAATTCAGACTCACCAGTCGTACAATCTGTGGGGCTGCAATTCCTCCAATTCGGGCTGACATGGCACAGGCCCCTATACCGATATTCCTGAAATCATATTAACTGTCATTATAGCTATATCTACTTTCATTCTAAACCTTTTCCCATTATCATTTCTCTCAGAATTTGTTTTCTTTGTGTTCTCCTACCCTCTCCTCTGATGCCATACTCATGAAAAAATGTCAACAGACAAGGCTAACTTTACATTTAAGGTGGTATGGGATACCAAACAAAACTTATTTTACATACTTATTTACCCAAATAAGGAGGTTTCGAAATAATTCCACCTTTCAATATGTTAAATTGTGATTTTAACAATTTTTTTTATTATTTTAATGAGAAATACAAAAATTATTTTTTTCTTATATAATTCTTTTTTTCAAAAGCTTACCGGTAATATTATAGGCAAGAGTTTACTAATATAAAGTGTATATAAAAACCAAAATGACAAGAAATATGTCTTAAAATTTTTTTTAATTTTCAACAAAAAATAAGCGTAAAAAACGAGGAAAACTTTATTTCTTGAAAACAGACGGATAACATTTCATGAAAGTCTACAATTAGAATTATCTTAATATGTAAGCAAAGTGAAATAAACAAATTGAAAAAAATATATATAAAATGAAAATATAAGATGCATTTAAAATTTTTTTAATTAAAAGATCCAAACTGAAGAATTATCCTTCTTTATTTTCCAAGGGTTGAAAAAACCTGGGTGCTATTTCAGAAATGATGAGCATTTTTTCCCAAACTTAAAAAATTCACATTTTCTTTCAGTGGTAGTTTTCAACTTTGAACTATTTTGAAAACAATGCATGGACAATCGCTTTCCTAGATGTGTCTCATTCAGAGCAATTGCATTCATCTAAAAGTTTTGGGACTATATACAACAGCTAGCTGATTTGTGACCAAACAGTTACTTCTTGAATTAAATAACAAAGAAGACCAGCTCTCGTTAACGTGATAATTGATCGGTCATAATTCAGCACAATGTGAAGTAATCACACTTATTCATGCCTCATCGCACACAAGGTGCTGTACAGTTACTCAAACAATTGAAATACAGCTTTTGCTTAAAAGTGTTCAAAAGCAGCAATGTTTAAACTATCTTTTACAGGGGTTTGCTTTTTAAATGTCCGTAGTACAATTATAAGTAAATTTATATACTTGAGATCTTTTTGTCTATTTTAACTAAAATGCCGACTTATGAGAATTTGCACTGAAATAGCTTCAGAGTGTTCTTTAAACGGTGTATCTACAAATTTTGACCCGATAATAAGCACTCATGCAAATCAAAACAATACTTCAAACGGAAATACGTCATAACGTGGAGGTACATGTATCCCATACATGTACTACCTTAAGCTTTATTGCTTGACAACACCAGATATTTATTGATATATTTTATATATACAAGCTATCTATCTTGGACCATCTTATTGACTTCTAAATGGAAGAAACATAGCTGTCGATCACCCTGCATGTGAGGGAGACATCATAAATTTTCTCCCTGCATGTGACATACTCTCGACCAATCAGATTGGCTATATTATTCTGAAAGATAATAATATACATTTATTGTTTGGGTTCAAGGGCAACATGTGTTTTGTCAAACACAATAACCAAACTAACAGCCTAAGACAAACAGTTTGGTTTAAAATTGCATTTTGCCAGAGAACACAGTCAATTAATTTTCTGTTATATCTTTTACTTTATATTTTGACATATCTTGCGCCTGCTTCCGTGTTTGAAATAATTGATGTAAATTTTACCCGCACTGTAGATTAAACTCAGTTAATTCCATAACTGTCACACACCAATGAATGCAAATAAGATATCTTGTAGCTGCTCCAGTGTGACGTAAAAACGTCATAGTGGTTCAATATCTCATCGACAGGTCCAATTTCTAACTCTGGGGTCCGATAATTTTTTTTTTTTTTTTTGACTGCTCATTAAAACATTAAAAGTTTTTGACTTTTCTTTAGAATGGATTTATATAAGAAACAATTTCTCTGTACTGACCTGATTACTGTTGGGAAGGTCTCAGCAGAAAACACCTGAGTGGCTGCCCATCCACCAGATATAGCGGACTTTCCAATCATCGCAACAACAATTATGGAGACAATCTGAGATTCATCTACAAGTACAACAACAAAGGAAAATTTTACTACCACAGTAAAATAAGATCTGTATTGTTCATGCATTCATGCTTTATTTCAACTTTGAAAAAAAAACCAAACACCTGAAATCACTCATTTTGCCCTTGGGTGATGACTTGAATAAATTTAATTGTAAAGTACATGGAATATCATAATGACTATGTACAAGTTTGCTGAAAATCTGTATGGTAGCACGCATGGATCAGCAATTTTTCCAAGCCTCTTTCCTTTACTTCATAAGCTTCATAAATAAGATGCTCCCTACCGGATTAAGAGGGGCCCACGTTTTCTTACTTTACTATGTACATTTAATAAGTGCACAAATTCTGAGAAGTCTGGACCCCTCATATTCAATTCATAGACCAACATACTATTTTTGTGTAACTATCTAACATTTGACCCCCCCCCCCCCAAAAAAAAAAAACACACAAAACAGTCAAAATGAACACATAATTTGCATACTGACAGCTGTGCAGAAATACAAATCAGTACATTTACCAGTAAGTATACATTTATGTCTCTCCCTTACCTATTAATGAAATGACTAGAACAGCTACACATGAGATTCCTGCCAATAACATTAGAGACAGAGTGATTTTCCTCCTTCCAAATCGATTGTTTAATGCCACTACAAAAACCAAGGCTGGAATTTCTACTAAACCTGAAATGAACACATTAAGGTGTAGATTCCCTGCTAAGTTGCTGGTGTTGAAGTTTAACCCGTAATATACTGAGCTGGAAACAAACCTGAAAAGATGAAGGAAAAAATAATGTTACAAGACAATTTTATCAATGTTTTTGAAGGAACTTTTCCTATTGGTCATGTCGAATATCGGCATTTTGTAAGTAAAAGAATGTATTACTTTTTAACCTACCAGCCATACATGACTATAAGAGAATTTTTGGACATGCTCCATGTCCTAAATAAATGCCAGTAACTGAAGTTTTTGTATCTTTTCTCAGGTTGACTTCTGACCTGCAAATGTTATACCAGTAATTCAATCAAAAATGAAACCCACCAAATGGTCACATTAAACTTTCTTTACGTAAATGACTTATATATGTACCTCAGACTCCATTTCTAATGTAGACAGGTCTGGTAAACTAATTTCATTATATTCCGCTATCTTTTTTAAAACAGCCTTTGCTTCGTGGAATCTTCCTTTGCTCAACAACCATCTTGGACTCTCTGGTACGAACCTGCACAGATAAAAACCAGTGTCCTATTACAATGAACATGCATTTATATAAATAAAAAAATACCAGAGTTTGTTTGAATAAAAAGTATAATGCAAAAGTTAACGTAGATTGTATCTAACCTTGAGAAAATAACAATTACATATAAGAATCAAATACATGTACAAACAAGGGATAAAAATCAAGTATGATTCTTAATTAATCTTACCACCATGTAAAAAGCATGAATACTCCTGCAACTGAGGTACTTATAATAAGGTATCTCCAGTTGGTAATGAAGTACCCCCATATTGCCAGTGTCATCAATCCCACAGCCCAGAACCCCACACACCCACAGAATGTCCTCCAATCAGGTGTCACAAACTCCAGGGGGAGCACAAAATTTACCACCATCACACCTACAAAGAGTGACATAAAAATAAACTCAATCTTTATTTTGAAGCATAGGACATCATTTTTTTTAAGAATGGGTAATTCAGAGCTACTGCCGAATCATCATTTGTGAGGGATAAATATTTCTGATTTTTGTGGGTCACTCCTCCCCATGAACAAACTTTTTCAAAGTATTGATTCAGAGAACTTCTGAATATACAAGTTACCAACCAAAATAAAATGTCCCCATGAACCAGTAAAATTTTGGTTATCCATGAACATTGACACCCCCCATTCAAAATAAACGATGCAACAGTATTCTTTTTATCAATATTAAAGTTGTTTATTATTATTAAAGACTTACTTCCCACAAGTCCACCGATGAAAAATCTAAAGGCCGCAAATAACTGCCATGAATTAGCAAATGCGCTGCCCAGAGAAAAGGCAAGCAGCAAAGAATAGGCAATATATAGAAGCTTTCTGCGACCAAAGATATCAGCCAGCTGTCCCATAAGAAGAGCTCCAACAAGCAGACCACACATCTGGATTGTGGTGATGGTACTGGGGATTTTCATCCTGTCACACACCAGTGACCACTGCAAGTATAGACACCATCATTTTAATCACTGCTAATTTTCCTCTCAATGTCTGACATTTCACAACTTAGTATTTGAAGAATGATATAATCAAAAAACTAGAAAATTACTATAGGAAACTTTCATTCTTCTGCCATACATATTGCAAAAATAATTTGTTAAAACATTTCTAGAGATTTGTTATGTTTTGCTCAAAAACTTAAGTTTTAGATAAAATAATTAAAAATTGAATTTCATTTTCAAACATGTACTGGTAAAATATATTGTACCTGCAATTTAAAAGAAAATCAAAAGTTTTAAAACATGTTTAGAAACTTTAAGATGATTAATTATCAAAATGATTTGCCAATCAAGAGATTTTATTTAGGAATGGGTATCATCAAAAATTTTGTGTTGGGATGTATGACGATTCTCCCCAAAAACATTACAATAATATCATGATATATTTACTATGATTTGAAATGAATTTCCATAATTTTTCTTTAATTTTTCTTTGATTTGAAAAGAATTTCCATAATTTTTTTTTCTATTATTTTTACCAGGATTTGAAATGAATTTCCATAATTTTTCTTTCAAATATGCTGTAAACTCATAACTTCACTTTTTAATTTTTATCATTGTTTATTTGAATTTATATAAGAAAAAAGCAAGTTTGGATGCTAGGATGTTGTTGTTTGACTGTTTTACTACATTCTTTACAATTCAAATCAAAAGTTTTACAAATAAATGAATTAATTCCAGATTTTATAATTATGTACCAAATACTGGTATTTAAGCCTCCATATCACAATATGTTTCACACAATATTAACAAAATCACACATCCCTATAGTTCTTAGTTTTCCTTAGAAATGATCTTCATTTTAATTCTGCTAATCCTTCCTAAATTTTCTAAAGAAATCTGGCAATGAATATATTTTTCTGTCACTTATTAAAAAGCTCAGATGGAATTGGAATGATAGAACTACTGAAACAAAATACAAAAAAGCAAATGATTAGTCATCATACTTTACCAATTTCATGGTGGAGGGCTTAACAAGTTCAAAATTGTTAGCAAGCTTACTTTAGCAGATAGCTTAAATTATTTCAGAAGCCATCAGTGTAGTAACAATGTATACCTACTAATGAAGTGTGTCCCTATTCAAATGTACCTAAACCATATACCAGTATCTAAAATCAATCATCATCACCTTGATCATTTCACATTTCACAAATAATGTAATCTGATTTTTTTTTCCATAGGGTCATAATTACAAGGAATTACAATTCCTGTTCAATCCATGGGTAGAAAAATCTAAATTATTCTGAATTCTCTTGGACTGGCATATTTGTATGTCTTAAATGCACTTTAAGTATGCTGTGACCAATTTATGCAAAAAAAAAAAGTTAACAGATAGTGTAAATTAATTTTACACATAAACATAGGTAATCAGAGATTACAGAGCTTACCTCAACGAATGTTGTCTTTATGGTCAAGATCTAGTGAATGAAAGGTGCCCACAGATTTCTCAAATTTGAGATACACATTCTTTTAATGATTCTTTACGAATATAGTTTGGTAGAATAAGGTGTATCCGGACATAGTTTTGGGGTAAACTCATCGAAAGCATATTATAAACTGCCCATTTTCAATGAAAAATGAAGAAAGTCTGGTATAAATATGGGAGTTTTTTCTATTTCAGACAAAGGAAATGTATCAATATTGCCTACAGTCTCTCAGAAAACGGTTTTTCATATCTTCTTGATCTCTACTTTGAAATGATATTAAATGGAATAAGGGTATCGGTGTTACATTTGGCATGATTTCAAATTTAAATTCCATGAAAGTGCTTTATTTTCTACATAATTCTATTGAAGCCGTAAAGTACGGGAAAAACTAAGTTTAAATCAATTATGACGTCATAATGAATTTAGCACCAAGAAGAAAGTCTAAGCTCATTTACTAGATCTTGACCTTAAGGTAAGTCGCGGGTTTACTGCATAAAAATTCTTACGAGAAAACATATCCTGAAAATTTGATATAATGTTCCTTAGAATTTGCGGCATATTATCTGAAATTTTTATTAAATTTTGCCTACGTGATTTTAACGCTATATTACTATAGAAATATATGGGAAAATGACGTTTTTAAAACAATTTTACCGAAAGAGTTTCCTTAGAAAAGGTCGGATAACTTTTTAAAGATGTAGACGAATTACTCAGAAATTTCAAAATATCATCAATATGTCTTCTCACTAGTTTTTTTGCTAAATAATTTTAAAGTTTGACTAAAACGTCATATATATTGAATGTAATCACGTTTACATATAAATATCTTTATATTTGTAATATACAAGATCTAAAAGGTGACATAGATGCACACTGTAAGTTTATTCAGCATTTCACTTACTGCAGAAACGTGTTTGGAAGAACAGCTACTTATCTTCTCTAGTATTATGAAATTCACATTCTGTCCACGAAGTCAGAACGAATGCTATATTGATAGAAACATTCTTCGTGCATTAGAATTAATATGCAGCGACAACACTGCAATTGATAATAAATTAATTCAAGTAATGTAAGGATCTTCAAGTTCATTATTAAGATTTCAAATATAAATCACGTGAATTATTACTTCATTTGAAATCGGTCAAAAAAACAAAACAAAAAACAAACAAACAAAAAAAAAACACCCAATTACTGAGGAGGGGAAGGGGTACCGGCAATGTTCTTTTTATATCAATCGCAATTTAATATATAGGTCGAACTCTCAAACATTTGTTCTTTCTTTTTTTGTTCTTCTTTATCAATTTTTCATCCGCAAAATTTAAAATTCTTGCATTCAGCTTATATACAGACAGCTTAATTTTGTTATAGAAAAAATTGTACTTGATACTTGTATTTCGTAATATATACATGTAGTATATTAATATATGTTTAGAGTGTCATAAAGGTCCAATATGCCGGATGTCTGTATAAATTTATTTTAACATGTTTAATGCATTTCACTATGATAAATCAATTCCTTGCTAGCCTACATATAGAGAACGACTTTATGAGATTCAAATACAAAATATTTTTTTAAAAAAGAGGAAAATGCATATAATTAAATTTCATCCCTTTTTAGTGTTGAGGATTGATTTTATCCTAAAAATAACAAATTTGTTTTTTTGGGGTTTTTTTTCAGCTGTGATGAGCAAACATGGTGCATTACGCACCTTCCCTTCGTTGCAAATTACGTGCATACATACAACCTTTAAAATTTTTGGCTTAGCAGTTTACGGTAACTTTCATTTTGCATGCCATATCTTTAATTAACACTGACTCATTTTGATTGACCATTAGCAGTTTAGTATCATTTACAATATAAATTATTCCTTGCATTGGGCATTTATTATGTTTTATTAGTTTGTTCTTATACATTACACATATTATCAGAGCAGAATTAAAACTTATAATACTCTTGGTTCATACATTTACGACAATACAATTATGGACAATAACATGTACTTTCTACGCTTTGTATGGACTAGATTCTATTGCTAAAGTAATTTTCAGAGAAATAAATGGGAAGCAATGCAACATCGCCTTTGTGATGTAACTGACGTCTAACCAAATGTGCACAAAACAACCGCTCGAATCGTCGAAATTGTGTACCGAAATTGATGACAAAAGCAAACCCGCGACCTACCTTAAGTAAGGCAAAGTCCCAAACTAATAATCTAGTAGTGTGCATCCCTAGATGTAACATTTATGCAATTTTGGTTTGATAGGGCTTGCAGTTAAACTAGTCACTCATCAAGAAAATACAAGTCATATCCAGCATCTGAAGCAAGTTTGACAGTGTTCATCCCATGATGCATCATCCAGGCAAGTTTGGTCCAGATAGCCCTTATAGTTTACTTAAACCTGGTCACTCATCTAGAAAATGTAGGTCAGATACAGCATCCAAAGCAAGCCTGGTAGTGTGCATCTTTAGATGTATCATTCATGCAAGTTTGATCAAGATGGGGCTTATAGTTACTTATAAATGAGACCCGCTCCAAAAACTTTAACCTGGTCACTCATCCAGAAAATGTAGGTCAAATCCAGCATCTAAAGCAAAACCAGTGGTGTGCATCCTTAGATATATATCATCTATGCAAATTTGGTCAAGATAGGGCTTATAGTTACTTTTAAATGAGACCTGCTCCAAAAACTTTAACCTGGTCACTCATCCAGAAAATGTAGGTCAGATCCAGCATCCAAAGCAAGTCCAGTAGTGTGCATCCTTAGATGTATCATCCATGCAAGTTTGGTCAACATAGGGCTTATAGTTACTTGGAAATGAGACCTGCTCAAAAACTTTAAACTGGTCACTCATCTAAAAAATGTAGTTCAGATCCAGCATCCGAAGCAAGTGTGGTAGTGTGCATCCTTAGATGTATCATCCATGCAAATTTGGTCAATATAGGGCTTAGAGTTTCTTGGAAATGAGACCTGCTCCAAAAACTTTAACCTGCTCCAAGAACTTTAACCTGCTCCAAAAACATTAACCTGGCCATTCTTTAGCTGAAAATGCAGCATCTGAAACCTTGCCTGGTACAATGAAACACACTAGAAGCATCCTCCATGCATCTCTAAATAATATAGGGCATAAAAGTACTTGAAAGTACTTGAAAAGAAATCTGCTCCAAAAACTTTAACCTGGGATGCTGAGGGTATTACATAAGCTCCCCCAACTGAAGTGAGCTAAAAATGTATTTCAATCTACAGTACATGTATGATGAAATGCTACAGTAGCCTGCAGTACCCCTTACCTCACTAACAATGGACTGGATGTCTTCAGAAAACACAGCTCCGGGACAAAGTGTGTCACTTTCTGAGCACTGTTTTGCTGATAATGCAACATTTTTTTCCAGTGATGATTTGTTTGTTAGAGTGGCATTAGAATCACTGAATTCTGGACATTTCCACTCTGGTGCAATATTCAAGAAGATAGGAAGAAGCATAGCCCATGCTGCAGGGGTCTCAAACATGCTGACCAATATAAATACACGCTTCTGGTATGCTCCAAAGGACCCAAGCTGTCGTAGAATACTTTCAAATTCTGACATCCTGAAAAGTGCTCACTCTGTGTTTTAATCCACCAATATCAGGTAGTTCTCATCACACTAGCTGGAGTGCATTCTCTTGATTAAATGGAAAACTTGGGTCATTTTTCAAAAATCACATTGATGTCACTTTATGTATCCATGTCTGGTTTATTCAGAATATCATTCCACTGTTTATAATGATGATTAGTTCTTTTTGTCTACTTTAATCTACAAATAAAGTTTTGCATGCATATTAACTGCAGTATGTATGTTAAAATGTCCTATATAAATAACATGTATATTTCATCTCTACAGAAAATAAACATGTCAGGAAAATGACAGAAATTTTATAAACACAAATGGTATTAAAAGTTATACACAAGGTGTATTTACAAATTTAACTTAGGACCCTTAAGGGCCAGGATTACATATAATATGTGTTCAATTAATGTAAAATTATTTTGCTTGGTGCAATGCACTCTGAAAAGCAGAATACTTATGGACATTGAACCCAATACCCCTGCATTACTAGACAGGTGCTCCAATCACTAAGCTATTCAGGCTGATATCCATACAGGCTGAAGCACTACATTCCTCCCTCCTTAAATTGTTCTCACCCTTAAAGACACCAATTTCTTAGCCCTGGCAGGTCACCATCATCAGCAAGTCGGGGTGGTCAAAGGCACCAAAAAAGCAAATGTAATAGGAAAATAGAAAAATTTATGTCTGAACCTAGAATTGAATTTGAGACCACTGCATAATACTCGAGTAAGGTACTCCAAATGCCAAGCAGCCAGGCCGACACATCCAGGTCCATACAACCCAAACAACCGTGTACGTTCTCAAATCCTATGTACATGGCACCAATGTAACAGGAAAAGAAATTTATGGCTGGACCAGAAACTTAATCTGGGACTCCTGTATTACTAGTAAGGTGCTCTAATCACTGAGCTTTCCTGGCTAATAGCAATGGTTCAATATAGCCCAAGCACAAAATTAAAACACTGATCAATAATTATTCTGTTTCTCCCCTTTGCATTGATCTCAAGGTAATATCACTTTTGACTGCAAAATAGGTCAATATCATGGCCACTTTTATCATTTGATATATTCTTTTGATATGAACATGTATAATGTGTATCACCAATTCTCAGAATATATCCTTCACTCAAGTAAAGGTTAAATAAAAATTATGAAAACTCAGTTGTAGCAAAATTATTTCAATAAATTCATCATCTTTCTACAAAGAAATCACCAGCATAATATAACTTTTTGTAAGTTATAAATATTAGGCCTATTACAATACACTAGTTGAGATACATGGCACTGAAAAAATATTATAGTATCTCATTAAACCAAATTAATGAAAAATAAAATAAACAAACTGACACAAAAAAATTAACAAAATGTATTTGTGAAACACCGATGCCCCTATATGGCAGCTCATAATGAAGGCTTAAGTTTCTCAAATGCAAGTCAAACTTCAAGGTCAAGAGATCAAAACTGTTGGTACCAAAGAAAAAGGTTGTATCACAAGGAATGCACAAATGAAAGATGACCAAACTCAAAGGTCAAGGTCAAAATTGTTCATACCCAAAGGAAGGTCTTGTCACAAGGAATACACATACCATGGCACCAATCGTTCAAAAGTTATGACCAAGCTTAAAGTTTGATAAATTTTGCAAAAGTGGGTCAAATTCCAAAGTCAAGAGGTCAAATGTTGAAACCCAAATATAGGACTTGTCACAAGGAATACACATGTGAAATATGAAAGCCATGCCATGGCTCCAAAAAAATCAAAAATTAACGGCAAGGTTAAAGTTTTTGCGGACAAGCAGACAGTCGGATGGAGCAAAAACTATATGCCCCCGAATCTTCGATTATGGAACATAAAAAGAACGTGGCCAAAAAAAAAAACAATCGGGCTCGGCATTCATATTTTTCTAAGCACATGTTAGAAAACATGAAATTTTCACAATAAATAATAATACTAAAATTAATACATGAAATTCTCCGTCCTCGTCCACACCTTACTTTAAAATGAAACACATCCTCGTGAGGTTATATAGGTAAGTGAAATGTGGTGCAATATCCGGACGTGTCGCAATAGCCGGCATTGAATTTTCTCGGAACACCTCGGTCGTTTTTTTTTTCATCATAGCACTGGTTCTCTGACCCGGTCCTACTAAACAGAGAACCCTAGAGAACTCTAGAGAACCCTAGAGAACTCAAGGTTTATTTGGTCAATTCAAATAAATTTTATGCATAATTGAGTTTATTCTTACTTTATAAATCGTATTCTATCTATAAAATCAATAACAATATTATTTTATGGATGTTTTCCCTCGAAAAAAAGTTGAAAACCTAACGACATAGAATAGTGTAATATTTTATGTCATCCCGATCCCGACTGAATTTCAAATCCGTTGTTTATTGAAATAATAATTTTACTACATAATTTTACAATTCTTTTTCACATAATTTTTTATTTGATTTCATTTTTTGAGTTATATACAACTCTTTGTCATTAACTCTAGCGTAAAACTTACTTGAAAAAATAATTTTAAAATAACACAAAGTATAATCAAGTCTTCATAGATTAGTATTCTATTGAAATTAAGCATAACACCTGGCACAATATTCTTTTTTTTTAAATCTATTTTGTTTTTGTGTGATATATTGGTTATTTAAAACATAAATATTTCATTTACAAACAATAAATAATTAAAAATCATTAGGGTTCTCTAGGGTTCTTTAGAGTTCTCTAGGGTTCTCTGTTTAGTAGTATTCTCTGCCCTTGATTCCACCCACTGCCGCTAGGAATTTCATTTCGGTAAACCTCGGATGATTCCATCGCCTTCATCAAACGATGTTTTCTGTCCTTTTCATGCTACGTGTGCTCTGCGGCACAGAGAGCCAGGGAACCAAGCTAATTTTGGTCTACCCTTATATATCGGCTGAGTAGTTCCGAATATACAGATTGTGACGGAAGCTCGGTGCACTCGGCACACTTCGACCGACCGATATTCGTACCTCATTTGATGAAGAAAACGGAATCGTTCGAGGCTTGCCGAATTACCCATTAGACGTACCCTGACTTTGGTTAACGGGCACAAGCCACTCGGCACACTTCGGCCGATTCGTACCTCATCTAATGATGAAGTAGACTGGTATATTATCGCGCATATCAGACAGGCAAGCCAGTCTAATGATGGTGACGGAATCAGCCGAGGTTTGCCGAATGGGGCGCAAGCGCCCCCCAAAAGAATGTCAGACACCTCGGCCCATTGACATTTCGGCCCACATCTCGGCTCAGACGAGTCGGCCCAATAATTAAGACAGGTCGGCCCATACATAAGACACCTCGGCCCAAGCAAAATTTTACTATGAAATTATATCCCGATATATATTTCCAATTTTTGGAGTTGAATTAAATATTTGATTGAAAAAAAGTACATGAATAAACCATCAAGATTTAAAAAAAAAAAAAAAGACCTTCCACGAGCACATTGACGATATTCAAGGAATGAGAATACAATGCTATTAATTAAAGTGCTAATTGATAAACAAACAGAATGCCGCGGCGCATCCTTTGGAGGGTCAAGTGCGTGTTATATTGGTGACAACAGGGAGATAATTACAAGCAGGCTCAGTAATTAATGTATTAGATCCAATGAATGCATGTTCTCATTTATTTCTTAAAAAAAAAACACTTCCATTCATAAAATTTATCGTCGCTTATAACTAGTTCGAGTCCGGGTTTTTTTCCAGGCTACTTGTATCAAAGCAAGTGCGTGTGCTTTTCAAAAAAAGAAACATACAATTAAGTATAGACCAATAATGCAATTTATTTTACGTGTTTAAAATATGTATCTTTATACGACAATTTATCTAGACATATAGATCTATATAAATTTCTTGGGGGGGGGGGGGGTTAATACAAGAGTAACGGTCGCGATCATGATATTGCAGAAAAAATAACATTTTCCACTTGAAATACATATAAAATGAAAGACTGTTCTAATTAAGTTAAAAAAATAAAACGATTATCTATCAAAGACCCTTCATTTTTTATTTAAAAAAATCGTTTAATAGTCAGAAAGAATAATAACACCAATAATAATATCAATTCAGACGTTGGGTAAATATGTTAATTTTTCTCCATCATAAAATTTTGCTTGGGCCGAGGTGTCTTTTATATGGGCCGACGTGTCAACAATCTTGGGCCGACCTGTCAGGGCCGAGATGTCAAGCGTGACGGGCCGAGATGTCTGTCTACCCCCCCCCCCCTTCCCCCCAAAACACCTTTGTAATTCCTAGCGACAGCGACTTGAATCAAGGGCAGAGAACCAGTGCTATCGACCCATTCCACTACTCGTGCTCGAGCCCGATTGAATTCTAATTGAACAATTCTTTTATGTAGTAATCAAATAAATGAATTGAAATCTATAAGGTGTAACCAGGGACCTATATACTAAGTTAGTTTATAGGTCCCTGGTGTAACCCAACTTATGATCAATTCAAGCAAATTAATAATTTAATTAATTTGCATGAATTTATTCTACTTGAATAAACAGTGATTTCTGTTTATTAATATACTTCATTGTCTTTGAACATTTTTCCTGGGGTAAAAAACATACCCTATGTTGAAAATGAAATAGATAAGATTAATATTTACCCTTCATACAATGTAATTTTCTCAATGTCAACATAATATATTTTACTTTAGTGTATAAAGGGTCCTTAAAAGGTTTATTTCATTCACTTAGAAAGTTGCAGGGTATTTACATTAAAAAAACCCACCACACACGCACATACATTTGCTATGAATCAAAATAAGAGAAAAATGGGCATTTAAAATTATTTTATTTAACTGAAACATCACTGCACATTTTATTACAATGATCCATTAAAAATATCACATCTGTTGGAATATTTCATACGAAGTATCATGAAACCATAAATTATGGTTGAGAATGAGGATTCATTACTTTCATGGATGGGGGCACTGTCTGTTTAATGATAAATTTATCTGGAGACACGACTAAGTCCTTGGATCTCTGTATATATACTGGAGGTTTCTTATCTACAACTGTTTCTTTGGTTATTATTATTTCCTCAATGTCAGAATTAGGTGTTTCATACATTGGCTCCAGTAGAATACTCTCCTGTAAAATAAGAAGAAAATGTCTTATTTCTCTAAAAAAGAATATCAAACTATCATTTATACAATGTATCAAATAATGGTTGACAGTGCTACAGAATTAATATGTTTTATAATACAAACATGAAATATGCAATAAAATCCTCATGTTATGCACCTTAGTCACTCTACCATAAAAAAAAAACTCTTTACAGAAACTATATGCATGGTTATTATGAATTGTTATAAAAGTAATCATTGTTTTATATGAATAAGTACTAAATAAACAATATGTACATTACTACATGTAATACTCCGTAATTCATACTAATTTTTTATTTCAGTACTATGTAAATCTCATTACCAGTCTGCTTCTGAGTGCTCTGGCACCAGTTCCTGAAGCTTTAGCTTTCTCTGCAATGGCAACCAAAGCTTCCTCCTCAAACTTTAACTTTGCCTACAGTTAGTAAACACAAATAGGAGTCAGAAATATGGCAAAATAAAAATATAAATATTTAGTACAAATAATATTTATCTCAATTTAATTAAACCTACCCCATCCATTTCAAGGAGAGTTTCATACTGTGGAATCAATGCATTTTTGGGTTCTTTAAGGATCTGTATCAACATTTCAGTGGTCATGTTTTCAAACACAGCGAATACTGGTATTCTGCCTATGAATTCTGGAATCATACCAAAGTTGACAAGATCATCTACTTCTACTGCTCGGAGAATCTCATCCTTCTTCTGGTCCGAGTCATCAGTGTTGTGGGAAGTCTCCAAAACATTACTGTGATCTTCTTGAGGGTCTGATGTAAATCCAAATGGCTAAAAAAATAAAATTCAACTGTTAAAAAAGAAGTTTACTCTAAAATTAGATGAACAGATAGACTGAATGTTTTTTAAACACCGAAAAAAATTTGAGTTTCTTTCAAATTAATAAATGCAGGGTTACACAATAATGAAATAACTTTCTCTGTATTTACCTTGATGTTGGCTCTCTTTTGAATAATGTTTGTGAGACCACTGAACGCACCAGAAAAGATGAAGAGAATGTTAGTTGTATCCACATCAATTGTTTTTTTCCCGCTACCACTCAAGTCAGGAACTTTAATAACTGCTCCCTCCATCATCTTGAGGAGACTTTGCTGGACCCCCTCCCCACCAACATCTCGCTGGAACTGACCACCTTTCTTGGAACTGATTTTGTCCACTTCGTCCAAAAACACTATACCTACAATGTAAATAATCAAATATCAGTGTAGACATTTAGTGTAGTATACTAGTGAGTTAGTGTTAAATAATCAAATGTCAGTGTAGACATTTAGTGTAGTATACTAGTGAGTTAGTGTTAAATAATCAAATGTCAGTGTAGACATTTAGTGTAGTATACTAGTGAGTTAGTGTTAAATAATCAAATGTCAGTGTAGACATTTAGTGTAGTATACTAGTGAGTTAGTGTTAAATAATCAAATGTCAGTGTAGACATTTAGTGTAGTATACTAGTGAGTTAGTGTTGTTACATGTTGAGTATAATTGACTTTTTTTAAACACAAAATGAATCTTTGCAAAAATATATTGCCATCTTTTGAAAAATTATCATTTGATAATTTGGATATTTACAATTAATAAAAACTCAAAAAGATATTTTTGAATAAATGTTCATGGCCTCTCTGAGTCATTTTGCCTTACAGACATACTACAGATGTTCTGTGCCCCTTCTTAACTATGGACTTCAATATCACAAAACTAGATCTGGTTGTTTCTGAGAGAAAAACTAAGGAAGCAATAACCAGAAAAAGTGGGAAGGAAAAAAGGACCCCCTGTTCTTGCATTGATGAAAAAAATGAGTCCATCACTCCCTGGTTTATAATAAAGAAGTTGAAATTAATTGTAGTAGTCTAGTTAAACAGTTTTTGTTCAAAAAGATAAAACAAAAGGAAAAAAAAAAAGATGAAAAATGATTAAATGATGATCAGAAAGCTTACTTGCTCTAAGGTTAAGTTGAGCTAATAAAGCAAATGTTTGCATACCTTGTTGACATTTTTCCACATTGAACTTTGCATTCTGTAGAAGACGTCCCACTACATTCTCTACATCCTCCCCAACATAGCCAGCCTGCGTCAGACTTGTACAATCACAGATCACTATAGGCACATTCAAGATTTCAGACAGAACTTGAGCAATGTATGTTTTACCTAAAAATGTGATCAAAATAAAATGGCAAAAATTATTATAACAACTTCCTTCATGAGTCTTGGGTATGATTTGCTTTTGTTTTATTTTACCAAGTAAGCACAAGGAATGGGGGAATAACCATAATTTATATAAGAGCTTCCATTGATAGATTCAATTTAAGTAAAAAGAAAACAACAATGAAAGACCTTAATACAAATTGACTTTTAGTATGGTATCTCTTTGTTTTCGTTAAAAAAAATTTATAAGTTGATCCATATAACAATACTTTTTATGAATTAATATACAGTCTAGTCTCATAAATTTGGATGTCTGTGTTCCCAAGCAAATTGTCAAGATAAGTGAAGAATCCAGATAATTAAAATGTACATTTTATGATTGGTAGATACAATTGTTAAATTCTGTTCTCTGAATTTTCAACAGGAATGTGAATTGTCCAGATTATTGGTGTCCCAATTAACCAGACTCCACTGTATTGATATCGAATATTTCATCAATAACAGCTCTAATTTAAATATACAAAATTTTCTAAGTTCTGACCTGTTCCTGTTGGTCCCAGCATCAGAATGTTAGTTTTGTCTATCTGTATATCAGAACTCTCCTTTTGTTTGACTACAGGAGTTACAGGGATTGAATCCGATCTTGCTCTAAGACCTTCACTTGCTACAGCAGCTCGAATGTCCAGGCCTAGACCATGGGAATGGGGTTTCCTTTGTTTTTCATACACTAATACATCTTGCAGGAGAAAAATTTTACTTTTAAGTTTGTGTAAGCAAACACAATACATGTATAAGATTTCTTCATTAATTAAATAAATACATGTACATTGGAATATTTTTACTCAGGAGAAATGTATTTGTATTAGGGATGTCAATTTAGTCAATAATTCATTTTTGAATATTCAATGAAAGTATTCGAATATATTTGCATATTCGATAAAATTAATAAAATCTGTTTTATTTTAAATATGCATCATCCTACTCTCATGAAAGGTTTAGCGTAGATATACTTATATTGGAAGTAAAATTGTATGAAGACTTTTGTGGGTGTACAATAAGAAATTCCATGTGATATTTGTCAATGTTTGAAATAAATAATTCATTTAAATGTAGAAAAGTATAATTTTAACAAATGAAACATGTGTATTTATAGTAGCTTCAACTGAGGAACCAGTCATCTTACAAAAGGCAAGATAGTCGTAACGGTATACTGTTCAGATTTCAATATGTGTAATAAATTACAACTATCTGCCTAATAAGAGATATGATTATAATCTTTGGTACAATGTTTTTAAAATATAAACAAATATTTCCATAGACAATTTTCCAAGGTAATTAACTAATTTCCCGATGATAAATATAAAATTCAGGATTATGTACAACCCGAGATAATCAAGTAATTTACATATTTATTCTGAAATTAAAGCCTTTACAATATTAATTAGACTGATTCTATCGGACATTCATTCAATGATCAATTAAATTTATTTTGATAAGTATACTCAGGCCTATTAGACAATCTAAGATTTCATTTTGTTGTCCTCGATTCTAGATCCGATCGTAACTAACTAATAAAAACTATGAAAGTACGTTTTGTATTATACATAAAGCATTATTGTACAATTCCTTAACACCTTACTCAAAACAAAATACATGTATTTTAGTAGATCTATATGATAAGAAAGTAGTGAAAGAAATCAGGCAATCGAAATTGATCACTAGTAAATTAAACAGGGATAATTTCAGCACTGTTCTAATAAAAATTTATTAACCACAGTACTTCTTTTTATGAAATCTGAAAAACAACGAATATTCGGATCTTAAGGACCCTCTCTACACCAGTGCAGAATGTTTTTGGGACATTGAGAAAATTACACTGAATAAAGGTGTAAATATTGAGCTTATCTATTTAATTTTCAATATATGGTGCGTGGCATTTACCCCCAGGAAAAATGTTCAAACACAACACAGTATCAGTGAACAGAAATCACTGTTGTTTATTTCCATGGAGAACATACATGTAAATAATATGTTCAATTAATTTATCTTGGCCTTTTAAAATGTTAAGAATACTTGAATTGATTACAAATTGAGTAATATGCTGTAAATTTCTATCTATTGGAATTTAGATCTAAGGGCAGATCACTCTAACTGCAGAAAAATACCATAGAATCAGAACTCTTTAGTGTGCAGTGTAGAGAGGGTTCTTAAATTCATATTCTAATATCAACTCATCGAATGAATATTCGAATGTTCGAATATTCGTTGCCATCCCTAATTTGTAAATACTACCCAGTAGTATTTTTTTTAATTCAAAGATTTAATCTGAGGGATTTTGTAATACAGTAATACCTTACATTATCTGTGCTTAATCAAAGAATCAAGGGAGATGCTTTTTTAAATGCTATACACACACACCTTGCCTCTCTCTTTCCTCTGCCCACTTTTGTTTCTGTATTTTGGCTTTGTGTTGGTTTATCCTTTTATAATGATTATAAACAGCCACTGCTAACACTTTCTTGGCATGATCTTGTCCAATTATGTATTGATTTAATTTGTTCACTATCTGAAAAAAGTGTTAGAGAAACATCATATTTATTGTAATATATATTTGACTGATAAGCAACACATAAATTTTTTGTGGTTAATACTAAAAAATTTTCTAATTTTAGAATCCAGAAACTTAAATGTTTGCAAATTTTACAATAAAAATTCATCACAGACACTTGGAAGGTAAAATGTTTAAACATTTCTACAGCAGGGTTTGACATTAACTTTTATGAGTACTAGACCAGTCGGGCTACTTCCAATAATTTTTACTAGCCCTGACCCTAAAATCACTAACCCTGACCAAACCTGCATTTTTTTTTTAATCGCTAATTTTAACGAGGTAATTTTGAAATTGTTTCAAACTAGCCAATTGAGTCGGGTTCATCAAGACGTGCGAGTATTGTAAGCTTTAAAGATCATTCAACGAACTTTAATAATTTTTTTATCCCTAAATATTAATAAATTAATTGCAGAATATATTTTTTCAGTAACTATTTGTTTCTACCGCGGCTTGTCTATTACAGCCGTGGCTAAAATTAGCGATTGTGTCATTACAGGGATTTTTTTTCTTTACAGAGCGATAGCTGTGTTTACAATCGGAAATATTAAGAAAAATTCTTTAAAAGTTTTGAGAATATTTATTTGAAAGACTGAAATGGGTTTTAACAGTAATTTTATTAACACGACCAATCGGTCTAGTTCACGTACATTTTACACGACCGGACTACTCATTTACTAGACTGGGTAGGTCGGACGTGCCTTAGTGTCAAACCCTGTACAGCAACACATAATTATAGCAAACTTACTTATACTGAATTCATGCTAAGCCTTACAGCTGAGTAATTTTGAATCCCCTTGGTTTTAAAACATATTGTAATCTTAACAGATATAACAAATTATAACAAATCAGAATTGTATGTCCCTGGCACTTTGCTATAAGAGTGTTTTCCTGTATACTATATGTAATTGAAAATGGATTTAAATGGATTTAATTTTTAAAAGTTCATGTAGATTTGAAATTATGAATTTAGACTTCCACACAGGCATGTGTCTAGTGCATCCTAGTAAGTATCATGCATGACAGTATAAAAATCTCAGCTCATACCAAAAAAAAAAAAACAAAAACAAACAAACAAACAAAAGAAAACAAAACCAAACCTTTAACTGAAATATATTACTTATTTACATTTAAATATTTGAATATTTCATTGACATACACAGAAATTAAAATTGACATACACAGAAATTAAAAATCTGTGACTTTATTTTCTTATCTTAATCTTAATTTTTTTGGAAATTATTAATTTCTTAGAAACATTAAATATTTGAAAGTTTATAACACTTCTGTTAAGAAGGGCATTTTTAATGCATTAAAATGAGGGGGTAGAATTATCATTAAATATTTCCATGTAAACTCAATATATACCTCTGCTGGTTCCATCAACTTATCCTTTGGAAAGTCTTGTTTTGAAGAGGAAAATAAAACCTCATTACAATTTTCACATTTTACACTTGTTACTGAAAGAAGAGAAAAACATTATAACTATTCTTGTTTTTATCTGCATGATTAATAACAAGAATAGTGATGTAACTTTGACTTGACTCACTCAAAATTTGACAATTCTTACTTACAAATAGTAGTGTCCTTGTGAAACATTGTGTAGCCACAGTGGGGACACATTGTGTGCCCCTTCGAGCCTGATCCTCCCTTTTTATTACCACCCCCTGCACTGCCATAATAAGTGTATGTTTTCCGCCGACTAAAAAATGCACTGGTGGAAAAGGGAAGGGTCCTGCCTTTATGGTGGGAGTAAATGGCTGGAGATTTCCCTAAACCTTTAAAATGATATTGTATATTTAACATTATTAGATATTCAAATGCACAGGTGTGTGTATCTTAACAATGTGATATCTTATATACATATATGAATACAAATAAAAGGTATCATACACGTAGTTTTATATATATATATATATATATATATATACTGACCCATGAACGTCATGACCTTCATGCCAAAATGGCTTTTTCTCCTTAGAGAAGTGGACAGGAAAATAATCATGACCTGTATTTAACTATTAATCATCAAGTCAACCATGGCATGCAAGGCCTAATTTACTTCAACTTCAATGTGGATACTCTTGAAAATCCATCGCGGACATTTATTGGTGAGAAAACTCTGTACATGTGTGCAGTGGAATGGCAGTGTCCAAATGTAAAAAAAATTACTCCTTAACATATACCATACATACATTGTACAGGTCACTGTTGGTATCTTAGTATGCAGGGTAAGTGTTCCAGGGTTGAAGGTTCTGAATAGATGTTTTAAACTTCTCCAACGATGGTGTGTAGCAGGAATGAATTTTGTTGTATACATTATATATTAACCTTGTATTTTAAATATTATGTCACTATTAATGTGTTCATGCATATATTTGTATACTGCCTTATTAATTCCCCTATATCATTTGTTAATATTAACAAACCTTTACAGATCCTAGCATGAGTTGCTTCCATCAAATCCTACAGGTAATGTTTACGTTTGAGGATATAAATTTTCATTGGTTATCAATACTGAAGTTAACCTTTTGGATGTTACTAATTTCAGTCAAAGTTCATACCCTTGGGGTGTTAAAGTTTCTATTGTTTCCAAAGACTATATAAACCCCTGTAACTGTTAGACACGTGCGGAAACTTGGAAAGCATTAATTTGCTGTAAGTTCTCTCACTTTAATAAAGGTCTATTAGGTATTTAACAGGTTGCACAACTAGAAATTATGTTAAGATATTAGGCATTTTGACTAAATTGTCGTCTATTGCTCCTGTTAAATTTATTAGGCCATAAATCTAAAAGTTATGAGTTAGGTTTTAGGATAGTCCTTAATAAATAAGGGGTTTTTCTAAATTACCCTAGGCCTTTTCCCCTGGCTAGGTTGGGCTAAATCTAGAACCACTAACGAAAATGGTATTCTAAGGTTTACTCCTATTACAGGTGAAAGTATAGCTGATTCTGGTAGAGTGTTCCAGTAGTAGATTGTTCTTTAGTCAATATTAAACAAGATCTTTCAAATAAGTTTGTAGAATTTAAGAATAAGGCACTTGTCTATAAGTTATAACTGATATATGATAGATCCTACACTACAGTACCTTTTACCCGGCATGTTCCTGAATGTTGAATTCCTGCTAAAGAACGCCGAAATATACGTACACAAAACCTGTGTAAAGCGACTGAAGCCATTGCAAAGAACCGTGTGCTCTTTTTTGACAGAAAAATAAAACGGATGCTTAAAAGATTAATGCATTCTTGATTTCATAAATGGAAAACGGTTCGCAGCTGTTGTAAACTTGAGCAATGTCAAGGTCATCAATTGTTGGGAGGTATTATTATAATTTGTTTGAAGTGTGTGTAAGTGGTATTTTTATTCTTAAAATTTTTGAAACGGAGTAAGTTTTAAAAAAAAAAAACTTTAGATTTTTTTTTGATTAAACACAATTTTATATTTTGTAAGCTCACAAAACAAATAGGAAATCAATGCAGTTAAAAGAAATTTATTTACAATAAGATCTCCCTGTGAACAAAATGAAAATAGGAAATTGAGCCCGATGTGAATTTCGCATGCTCATACTCTGTTGTTTAACATGTTTAATGTCATAATGTGTCCTATTTATACACAGATGCAAAGAATTGTGCTATATATTTGTTAACATAACATTTTCTTGGTGTTTGAATAGAAATTCTTTCAACATCGGTAGGTACAGGACTTTTCTGTAGTCCAGCTTTTATGTGATGAAATCACGTGTAATTTATAAAAGCAAGTATCTATAACCGATGACTGTTTGAAGTAGGTGACTGGTGTTTGAGAAGTTCTACCGAAATATTGACAAGTGACACGTCTTCTGATGTTATGCAGAGTTCTAAGTCGTTGACATTGACTAAACTATAAGGTATCAGGTTCGTTCGCCCTGTCTACCTGTTCGCATGAGTCCGTTCGCGCAGGGTCCGTTCGCCTTTATTCTCGTTCGCCCTATATCTCGTTCGCCCTATTATATATATATACAGTATATAGTAAATATCAACATTTATTATTAATTTTATTCAATATTTTACGACTTTGTGTTTTTTTTCAAATGTTGCTACGGGTATTTTTTTTTATTTACCGTAATCTTAATTAAATAATTCAAATTTGATATTTATGCTCTTTACATGCTTAATTGATTTAATTATACTTAATAATGTCACTGTAATTTAGGGGATCATACAATCTGCGTTATGTTTTGAAAACAATTAAAGGACTGAGACGTTAATTTTCTGTTGGTCTGCCGGGTCTTTGATAGTACAGGTACCACATGCATACGTCTGTTGTCTCCCGTGCGCAATTTATGTACCAAAGTACATATAATTTATTTTAAAAAATCCATTGGGTCATTATTCAACTTTCTGCAATATAAATAAGGCGAACGGACCCTGGGCGAACAAGTTTTAGGGCGCTCGAAATCTGGGCGAACGGGAATTAGGGCGAACGGCGTCAAGGGCGAACAAGTTTTAGGGCGCACGAACATACAACCAAACTATAACAGCTTTTTAACAGGTCCAGTATAATCAGAGCTTGAATTACTATATAGCTTTATTTAGCTACCCAAAGTAGCTTTATTTAGCTATAAATCATGTTAAAGCTATATATGGCATATCTGAGCTTGAAAAATAATAATACAAGATTGAGTGTAAATACACATGATATAATATGTTATTTACGTTACAATAACAATCACAGTTGCAAGAGATACAATTTGATGAATGATTTTTTCGTGCATTGTTTTCAGAACAGTTCAAAGTTGAAAACTTTAAATTTTTCACAGTACCTAATTGTAACTTTTTTATTTGCTGAAAAATAGCACATTTAAGAAAAAAGTATGATAAAAAAGCTAAATCAAACAATTTTGAATAGCCACACATTAAGCTTTATAGCTAATTCAAGAGATTTTGCCAGACCTGTTGAAGTCTATTTTATTAATAGGTCTTATATAATACATGTTATTAATTAACAACTTTGATAATGGTAGAATTACTCAATTGTTTAATGGTGATTTTTTTTTCTTTCAGATGGCTGGTAGAGGAAGAGGCAGAGGAAAAAATGTTTCTTTTAATGTTGAAGCTTTAGGTTTTGGGAGAGGGGAAGCCCTTCCAGGTCCCATCTCACAGCCACCACCACTTTTTCCAGTAATGCAGTTTTTAAAATTTTTGATTTTTTTAAAATTTATTTATATTGATCAAAATGGAAGATAATTAACATGTAAAGGTTAAGTAATTAAATTGTGAACAAAATGATTTTAATACATGAAAATAACATCAAAATATACAATTGCATGTGCTCATGATGTGTAGTTAGTGTGTACAATAACAAATGTATATTTACAAAAGTCAATCAATAAAATAATACCTAATTTATTAGATTGCTGAGTTCAAGCCAATTCCCTTTGAACAAAGTGAAGAGTTTGACTATATGTTGGCTCTGAAGCAGGAGTTTCTTGGAAACATTCGTAAATCTCCATTTTACCTTCAAGCAGCAAACAAGAAAAAGGATATCGAGAGATACTCAGACAAGTATCAGGTTATAACAGAAGTCAATGGAAAATGGAAGCCAGGTGTCTGCACTTACTAAGTTTTACTAATCAATTAAGAAATATTTAACATTGTTCAGCATTTTAATTTTGTATCAATACTTGTATTTAACCACAAAGTCAGAAACTGTTAATTAGCATTCATGTTTTATGTACAGCCCTTTGAACCCTTTCATCCGTTTGTCAACATGTTGTTTTTTTTAATCTTGTATATGGGTACTTTTAGTAAAAAAAAAAAAAAAAAAAAATCAGGAAATTATGAAACAAAAAACAAACAATTGAACATAGATTTACACTTCAAGGAACAGGTGTCTGACAATATCTGACATTAAAAATTGAACAACATGGACTGATTTTGGCACTTTTCAGATTGGAGAAGACTTCCAGCTGAATTGAAACCAAAATTGCCAAGGAAAACAAAGTCCAAAATAAAACCAACAGTAAAGGTGAAGACAATGACCAAACCCAGCACAGTAGATGTATCCAAGACCTTAGAGGTAAGCAAGAAAGTTATAGTGAGTAAAATGTCTAACACATTAATCACATGACACAGTCATCATTAATCACAAGACACAGTCATCATTAACTGTGACTTGACACAAGGCCTCTGTGGAGTGAAAAATACCCACATGTAACTTATTATTCCTTATAAAATTATATGACTCAACTAGATTTGGCCTTGTTAAATTATGTGCGGTAGTAATAAAATGAATAAAATATGTGTTGAGAAGCATAACTGTAGCAGTTAGTTATAGTTGTGGTAGTTGTGTATAAAACTCTTTAGTACATGTACTTGAGAAAAATTTACTATTTAATGTACTAAGCTGACTTTCACATTGAATGTTAGGATCATATTCAATAACATGCTCAGTATAGATTTACTGTAGTTAGTGTAAGAATGCATAGAGTGATTTATCATGTAGTTATTTAGGGTTCTGCGAGTCATTAATTAAGAATAATAATTTACTCAGGAGCTTGAGAAAACCGAGGTGGAGGAAAAGGATGAAGAGGAGGAGGAAGAAGGAGGAGGTAAAAAAGAGGAAGGTACTGTGGAGGAGGAGGACGAGGAGATTTATGATGAAGAGGATATTGAGGAGGTAAGATTATAGTTCACTCATTTTAAAAATTGAGTAATTCGTATGAAACAAAAAAATGTTGTAATAACATTTATATCATCTGTTGTTTTACTGTAAGAATGCTGTCCATAGGTAATGTTATATTGAAACATCAAATAATGTTTTATCATACAACGCATGTATACAAGTAAACCGATTTCTGTGTCTTAAGGTATGTTCATTTATACCAGTTAAGTATACTGTTTTCTGGTAGGACTTCATTTGTCAAACCGGCATATGATGAATGCATTGCTTGACCTCTGGTAACTTGGCTTGTTGCTTTGACCAGGGAATTTTGCCTACGTATGCTAACCTTGCTGGTTTGAAACTACCAATGAGGAATTTGCTGATTTTAGAGCGGCAAGACATAAAATGCAAATACTTTTTAAAAATTTCCATGTTCTTTGATTGTTTTGTTTTATTTAACAATTGTTCACTCATACCTAAAATCTATTGTTATTTTGTTAAAAAAAAATCAAATTGTTTTTTTTTCATTGAATTCCAAATTATTTACTTTTTTCCGCTAAGACATAATGCAAAATTTATATATCAACATTAATTGATCTTTATTTAGAATAATTGTTTTTGTTTTTCAACAATTTACTTTATTTCATGCTGGTCATATGACTAGAACAATTCGGGGTATGCTGATCTTGGGCAAATGAAGTCTGTCCCCTGACTTTATGTACAAAAGTACACAAATCTCGATCTTCCAAAGACTGGTTTTATCTGTTACAGGAGACAGACTACATTCTGTCATATTTTGACAATGGTGAGGAATATGGCAATGATGATGATGATGCAGATGAAGGCCCAGTGTACTGAGGGAAAGGAGAAAACTCAACAGTTTACTGAGGAAAGGGAGAAAACATGGCAGTTTTTTTTAGGAAAGGGAGGAAACTCTACAGTTTTGCTGAGGAAAGGGAGGAAACTCTTCAGTAGGAGAGAGAGAGGAAAAAATTAACCTGGTACTAAACTTTTTTTTACTAAACAGGGATGACAAGGCAACAGAACATTTTATGAGTGACAGTTATGCATTTTAAACATTGACGAAAAATCTCTTGGCCATTGAAGTTGAAGTTGCATTATTGAGAAGCTTTACAAATTTTCATACTAGACATTGTTACATGGTATTGGTAGATCAACACTTCATGATATGAAACTGAATGCTTACAAATGTTCAATGAACAATAAAACTGTTTTCCTTTCTAGTATTTTCCATGTCTCCTTTAGTTGGAAAAAAAACAAATGGGCTATAATTGGTGCAAATGTTTGATTTTCAGTAGTTTGAACGTTTTCCATCTATCTGTAACTTTTATTTTCAGGCAGTATTTGTAGATATATAGTCAGAATTTGATGCACTTCTGTGCTGGAGTTACAGATTGTTTCTGGGTTGTGGGCTTCAGACAATTTATTTCCAACTTAATGATAGTTATTGACTAAAAACCCACATAATTAGGTCACCTGAGTTAACTTGGGTGGCCAATTACTATCTGTTTTTGTCCGTCATCTTTCGTCTTCCATCGTGTGTGAACATTTGAACTTTTTCTCTGGAACCATTAATGCAAATTCTTAATTCTGGAAGAGGCATCCTTCCTCATCATAACTTTGTACTTAGATCATTAGCTTAATACCATGGAGCAAAGGAGAAGAGTTTCAAAGAATTAATGCATTTTCACTATATTATCATCCGAGTCCCACCCTTACACCAGAACCCCTGACCCAGGTCCATGAAATTCACATTTTTGGGAGAGGCATTCATCCTTGTCACAACTTTGTACATAGTTCATTGGCTTTATACCCAGGAGCAGAGGAGAAGATTTTCAAAGAATTAATGCATTTTCAGTATACATATAATCATTATAGTCCCACACTTACACCAGAACCCCTGACCCAGGGGCCATAAAATTCACAATTGTGGAAGAGGCACCCTTTTTCATCATAACTATGCATTTAGTTTGTTTAATACCCAGGAGCAGAGGAGAAGATTTTCAAAGAATTAATGCATTTTCACTATACATATAATAATTAGAGTCCCGCGCTTACACCAGAACTCCTGACCCAGGGGCCATTAAATTCACAATTGTGGAAGAGGCACCCTTCCTCATTATAACTATGCATTTAGTTTGTTTAATACCCAGGAGCAGAGAAGATTTTTAAAGAAATAAATAAATGCATTTTCACTATATATTCAACAGAGCCTAGCCCTAGCATCAGAACTCCTGACCCTGGGGCCATGAATTTCACAATTTTGGTAGAGGGCTCAATGCTTATTACAATCATGCCAACAGTTTGACTGCTTGATGTCCAGGAGTAAAGAAGATTTTTGAAGATTGCATTAATTTTGATGGTTTTAGCCCCATCCCTCAGGCAGCAAGGGGAATGGGGCCTTGAATTTCACAATTTTTAATCCCCTTCACCCATACACCCATAGATGCTATATGGCAAAATTGATTGAATTGGTTCAGTGGTTTATGAGGAGAAACTGAAAATGTTCAAAAGTTTACAACCGACAGATGAATGATGACAGAAAAAAATGAGTGGAACATTTGTATGATATCAACTGCAAATTTCGAATCTTGAATAAAACATTTTTCCTACAAATCATGATATGATCATCTTTTCCACCATTTATGCAGTTGTTAGGGTGAATATAATGTAATACCATATTTATGGGGAAAAAAGAAAAGACTATAACTGTAGATGTATTTATAACAATTCATTATAAAGTAAGTACACACATGCATACATCTAAATAAATTGCTTGTAACTTTTAGTACTGACAAAATTTAAAACTTAAGACAATAATCCAGAATTTGTTTCAGTAGTAGTATATCTGACAATTAGAACTGTCCATCCCCAAACAACATATCCAGTGCTGCCTGAAGGTCGCCACCTGTGGCCTGTAGAGCTCGCCTGGCCAAAGCCTCATCTGTGATTCCCATGTCTCTCAGCTGTTGTAGCTGTGTTTGTAATATGGGGCCCTAAATACAACAAATATTTTAACTTGAGGAAATTGGTTTGTTAAAAATGGTGCTGTCATAAGTGTGATTTGTTTCTTTGTCATAATGAAAGCTTCGTGTTTACCTCATTTGTTGACTCCTGGGCTTGCCTTATGGCTTGCTGGAAGAAATCTGCTGTTATTGCACCTGGTAAGATGTTAGGCAATGGCTGCAACAAACATAAAACTTTTAGTCACTTTGTTATCTAATTAAAAACGCAAAACAATGGTATGTTCTATTGATTTATTTTCATTACATTTTTTTGAGTTACATGTACAAGCCATTAATTGTTTGATCCACTAACATATTTCACTCTGCATGAGCAGATCAAATATCTATTTTACATTGAGATACAAATATTTCATATGCAACTCTTCAATATAAAGTTGTTCTATCAGTTCTTCCATTATTTGATTACTTGACTCTGATTGACCTACTTGACTTGTGGCTCCCCCTGGTGATACCCCTGTGGCTGATGCTAAGGCTGCTGCTAATTGTGATGCCGTGATTCCACCAGACTATGATAATTAGTATTGATTAAAGAACATACAGACTTTGGATTTATAAATAGAAAATGCTCTACTGATGGAAAGTAGATATATGTACATACACTGGGACCAGGTCTGTTTGATATTGAGTCATCTTCATCATCAGACATTTGATCCAGGTAGAATGAGCCTGAAATCAAAAATATACACAAGATTTAATAAATCAACATGGTATGAGCTACTTTAGAAAGAAACAATCACAACCTGATGCTTTTTTTATCAGAACAACCAAACAATAACTTTTTAGCTCACCTGAGCCAAAGGCTCAAGTGAGCTTTTCTGATCAAAATTTGTCCATTCTGTCGTCGTTGTTGTCGTTGGCGTTGTTGTTGTTGTTGTAAACTTTTCACATTTTCATCTTCTTCTCAAGAACCACTGGGCCAAATTCAACCAAACTTGCCACAAAGCATCCTTGGGTAAAGGGGATTCAAGTTTGTTTAAATGAAGGGCCACGCCCTCTTTCAAGGGGAGATAATTAGGAATTAGTGAAAAAAATAATGGCATCATTTAAAAATCTTCTTCTCAAGAACCACTGGGCCAGGAAAGATGAAACTTACGTGAAACATCCTCAGGTAGTGTAGATTCAAGTTTGTTCAAATCATGATCCCCGGGGGTAGGGTGGGGCCACAATGAGGGATCCAAGTTTTACATAGAAATATATAGGAAAATACATGTATCTTTAAAAATCTTCTTCTTAAGAACAGTAAAGCCAAGATTGATCATATTTATAAGGAAGCATCCTCAGGTAGTGTAGATTCAAGTTTGTTCAAAGCATGACCCCCGGGGGTAGGGTGGGGCCACAATGGGGGATCCAAGTTTTACATAGAAATATATAGGAAAATATCTTTAAAAATCTTCTTCTTAAGAACAGCAAAGCCATGATTGGTCATATTTATATGGAAGCATCCTCAGGTAGTGAAGATTCAAGTTTGTTCAAAGCATGACCCCCGGGGGTAGGATGGGGCCACAATGAGGGATCCAAGTTTTACATAGAAATATATAGGAAAATATCTCTAAAAATCTTCTTCTTAAAAACAGTAAAGCCATGATTGGTCATATTTATATGGAAGCATCCTCAGGTAGTGAAGATTCAAATTTGTTCAAATCATAACCCCCGGGGGTAGGATGGGGCCACAAAGAGGAATCAAAGTTTTACATAGAAATATATAGGAAAATATCTCTAAAATCTTCTTCTTAAAAAACAGTAAAGCCATGATTGGTCATATTTATATGGAAGCATCCTCAGATAGTGAAGATTCAAGTTTGTTCAAATCATTACCCCGGGGATAGGTTGGGGCCACAATGGGTGATCAAAGTTTACAGAGGAATATATAGGAAAAAGTCTTTTTCTCAAGAACAGAAAAGCCATGATTAGTCAAAATTGATATGGAGGCATCTTTGGGTAGTGTAGAATGAAATTTGTTCAAATGAGGGCCCCCGGGGGTAGGGTGGGGCCACAATGGGGGATCAAATTTTTACAAATGAATATATGGGGAAAAAATCTGCTGCTCAAGAACAACAAAGCCATTTGTTATTTTGATATGAAAGCATCATCAGGTAGTTTAAAATTCAACACCCCCCTCCCTGTAAACTTTTCAATACTGTACTGATTTTTGCTTTTTTTCCTAGCCAATGTGCTCAGGTGAGCGATGTGGCCCATGGGCCTCTTGTTTTTAGTTTATATTTATTTGTTATTGTTTTTCAATTACCGGTAATGCCTTTTCTGCTGTGTTTTCATTACTGAATAAATGTTATAAATAATCATTACCTCTGATGACAGCTGCCTACCTGTTGTAATTCTGTCGGAGTCTCGACCAGAGCCCTCCTCATTCACCATCTGACAAACGGTCATGGCTGCTTGTCCAAAGGCTGGGTGTTTGTTTACCACTCTGTAATTAAAAAAAAAGTTAAAATTTACAAAATGTATGCAGTAAGGGCCTTTTTCTGCCTTTGACATTTATAATTGTATCCAAGAGTCATTTCCCATTTCAGAACATTTTTTAGCTCTGACAGTTAAGCTCCCTGCAGTAAAACCTTAATCAACAAGGAAGATTTAGGAATTACATGTATTTTGTGTCCATCGTACCTCAAATGAAATATTTAGTGACAACTACACACATGCATATATATATACATGTACACTTCTAACCAAATCTGACTTTAGACCAATCTTAATTATACAAAGTACCTACTCTTTTATGTTTTCAGGATGAGCCAAAATAGCTAAGAGTTCTTGATCTTGCAACATGGCTGAAAAGTAAAATAAAAATTACATAAATGTACCAGGAAGCTAACTATAACTACATACTAAATGAATCATAGTAAAACATACACGTACAAAACATTAACCCCCCCCCTCCCAAAAAAAAAATCAGAAGTCTCTGATGAGACTGAAGCTCTGCAGATTTATAAAATGTACCTATAAATTTGCACTGGACACTTTTATTTTGGCTTACATTTACACAATTATGTTTCCTATTGTCTTCTAAGCTTGTACCAAGATTTACTAAGACCAAAACTGTAGGAAGAGGAGTATTTTGAATCAACTAAGTATTATTCACGACATGATCATCTTTTATTTGCAATTCGTCAGTTTGAAATCTATCCATGACAATTTTTGCACTGAGAAGACGTTCTACTCAAAAACAAAATAAAAAGTAATGATTTGCGACAAGAATTATTCGCGGGGAAAAGATTGTGTACCGGTAACTCAGGGATATTTCTCACAGGCAAACAATAGTTAGTTTACAGTATTTTTATTAATAAAGAATCAGGGTGAGCTAAAAATTGATATAAAGAATTGTGTACATTGACTTAATAACATACTTATTAACCAAGCTTTCTTAAGTTCAGACCAAATACTATAGAAGAGTAAAAAGCTTTATAAACAGATACACAAAATTCACAGGTACTTGTGGACAGGACCCCCCCCCCCCCCAAGAGAGTTTTGGCCTGACGTAATAATCTCTCTCAGGTGTTATCATAATAGGTAATATATCCTCTATGCACTTCCATTGCGCTTACCTAAGGATTTTTCAACGTACTGACTGCAATGCTGTTTAAGGATTAATTGTGGGATTCTTACGAGATGCAGAGTCAATCCGATAGCATAAACTAAGACAGAAATATATGTAGAGACAATGTGAATCGACATTTTAGGTTGAAATAAAATATAAACATGTTTTTTAACCAGAAAGACCAGCGGGGGTACAACGTAAACAAACCAGATTGGCATACCTTTCTCCCTTATAATGTATAGTGGGGTATTTTTGTGTGGAACGATTATTTTGGGGGTTTTAATGATGTTTTCCTATGGTACACATGATGAATAAGTGCAATAAATATAATTTGTGAAAAAAATGTCCAACAAACCTAGGGTTGAATGGGGGGGGGTGTCCTGTCCACAAGTACCTGTGACAGAATTATGTATCTTGGTGTAGTCTAATTGCGTAAGAAATTTTATTGAGTCAAACCAAAACTGTAGGAGGAGTGGCATGTTGAACAAGCAGACAGAGATTGACTGATGGATGACAGACTGATGTATGACAGACATCTTTCTATGGCATAAACATTTCTGGTCTCTAACCAGTAGAGCTAAAAACATCACTTTTTTCTGTTCACATTTTGCATTTATTTAGCATATATTAACAAGAGGCCCAAGGGCCTTGAATCGCTCTTCTGATAGACTGTACAACCTATCACTTCTATTTGAAGCCTCTAAGTATCCTGTATATTTAGATAAAGCCTTGAAATTCCAAAGGTAGGTCATCATGACCTACATTTTAGATGAAACACTTTGAGAACCCAAGATGATTCTAAGCCAATTAGTACCCGAGAGTAGGTCATGGTGACCTACTTATCACTTGTCATTCTCTGAGGACCCAGATGCATCAACTAAGTTTGATGATTCTAAGCCAATCAATATCTAAATTATTTTTAAAATTATAACCATAACATTTCAAAAGTAGGTCACAGTGACCTACTTTTCAGATGAGACATACTTTGAGGACCCAAGATGCATCAACTGACAAAGTTTGATGATTCTAAGCCAATTAGAACCTGATATTTTTAAATAAAGCCATAAAATTTCAAAAATAGGTCACAGTGACCTCCTTTTCAGTTGACTAACTCCACGGACCTAAGATGCATCAACTGACAAAGTTTGGTGATTCTAAGCCAACTAGTACCTAAAAATATTTAAATAAAGCAATAAAATTTCAAAAGTAGGTCACCGTGACCTACTTTTCAGTCGACTTACACCAATCAGTACCTGAAATATTTAATTAAAGCCATAAATTTTCAAAAGTAGGTCACGGTAACCTACTTTTCAGTTGACCTACTCCGATGACCAAAGATGCAACTGACAAAGTTTAATAATTCTAGGCCAATTAGTTCCCGAAATATTTAATTATAGTCATAAAAATTGAAAAGTAGGTCACGGTGACCTACTTTTCAGTTGACCAACTCCAAGGACCCAAGATGCATCAACTGACAAAGTTTGATGATTCTAAGACAATTAGTACTTGAAATATTTAGTTATAGTCATATAAATTGAAAAGTAGGTCACGGTGACCTACTTTTCAGTCGACCTACTCTGAGGACCCAAGATACATCAACTGAAAAATTTTGATGATTCTAAGCCAAATAGTACCCTAAATATTTAAATATAGCCATAAAATTTCACAAGTAGGTGACGGTGACCTACTTTTCAGTTGACGTTTTACGAGGATCCAAGATGCATCAACTTACAAAGTAATATAATCATAGGCCTTAAAATGTCCAAATTATGCCTCTAAAATGCTTTGAAATTGAATGCCTGCAAAGTTCAAAAAGTAGGTCACTGTGACCTACTTTTTAATAAATATGTTTTATGGCCCCAAGATGCATCATCTTACAAGAGTTAATGATTCTAAACCTCTCAGTATTAAAATTAATGACCTTAATTGTTTTGATTGATGATCGTAAGCCCTAAATTGTTTAAAATATGCCTCTAAATCATTTTGAAAAAGAATATCCGCAAAATTTGAAAAGTAGGTCACCATGACCTACTTCTGAGTCAACATGATAAGAAGTCCTTAGATGCATCAACTGACAAGATTTGATGATCCTAGTCCTTATAGTAAGCAAAATATCAACATTTTAATAAAATGTTATTTTTGGTCAACTTTGAAGTGACCTTGAGACCACGCCCTTTGCCCCAGGGGGATTCCCCGCGCAAATTTTAATTTACAACATATCCTCATCCTTTTCAGTGATTCTTGAGAAGAAGATTTTTTAGCAACCAGTACTTTTGTTTCTATTTTCCTAATTATCTCCCCTTGTTTAAAGAGCACAACCCTAGTTTTAGTATAAATTGGAGCCCTTGGGCCAAGGATACCCTGTAACAAATTTGACGATAATTGGCCAAGGGGTTCTTGGTATGGCCCATATTCTAAAAAGTTTACGCACACCGCACAGATGGCCATAGCATTAGCTCTTTAAGCCTTTGGCTCAGAAGAGCTAAAAAAGGATTTTTGAGAGTTGAAAAACACCAAAATTTACTTTTCAATTAGTATCGAGTCCTATCAGTTGCCAGTTAGTTTTGATATTGTGAAGAAAAAAAAGAAAACAGAACATTTTTACCTTTACCTAAGGTACTGTAAACATGGAATTTACGTATGGGGGTAATGTACATTAAATACACTAAGAAAGATTTCGCATAAATATCACCCAGTATACCTATGCCTTTATGCTTGTTTTATTCTGTTTTAGATGCAAAGTCCAACAGTTGAAACTAAGAAAACACAAGCAATTCTTTTGTTATTATTTTAATTTGATTAAAAAATGTTTGCTAAGATTCACAATACATAATTTTTAGGGATGTCAATTTTGTCAATAATTCATATTCGAATATTCAATGAAAGTATTCAAATATATTCTAATATTCGATAAAATAAATGAAATCTGGTTTATTTCAAATGCACATCATCAAACTCTCATGGCAGGTGTTGTGTCGGTATTTGGAAGTAAAATTGGATGTAGACTTTTGTAGGTATACAATAAGGAATTCTACATTTGATATTTGTCAATATTTACATTTGCAAATGTTTTCTTTTATATAACACTATTAAGAGCAACGCGTATCTATATCCGTATAAACACGGGTTCCTCGCGTCATAAACGTTCGACGTAATTTCTCAGTGACGTCATAAAGGGTCGACGCACAATCAATGGATCAAATACGTGCCGTTGAGTTTGAAAAATAAAACATTTCACGCGTTAAAGATTGTTATCAGGAAAATATAAAATATGAATAAGTCATAAATGTAAATATAAGTAATAATGTATCATTTTTAAACATCTATCGGGATATAAATACGGGTTGGTACGAGATCAAATTTACCATAAAGCCCTTCGGGCTTTATGGAATTTGATCTCGTGTCCAACCCGTATTTATATCCCGATAGATGTTTAAAAATGATACATTATTTCTTAAATGTTGAAATAAATAATTGATTTAAGTGTATACAACCGAAATATAATTTTAACAAATGATATGTATACAAGCTCAAACTGAAGAACCAGTGATCTAACTAGGGGAAAGATTGTCGTTTATTCTTCAGTTTTAAATACACGTAATTAAGTACAATTATCTGATTAATAAGAGATATAATATAATGTTTGATACAATGTTTTGAAAATATAAACAAACACTTCCACAGACAATTGTCCTAGGTCATTAATTTCCCGATATAAATGATTTTGAAGTTTAGGAAAATATTCATCCAGAGATAATCAAGTAATTGATGCATTATTCTGAATTTCAGCCCTTTACAATATTACAGGCTGATTCTATGGAAGGTGTATTTAAATGATCAATAAAATTTATTTTCATAAGTACACTCTTCACGTCTTTTAGACATTCAAGAAGGGTTTCATTTCATTGTCCTCGATTCTAGATCCGATCATATTAAACTATTGAAAGTACTTTTTGTGTTATACATTAATAATGCTTGTTTATTTCTTTTATACTTACTCAAAATGAAATAATTTAGATCTATAAGATAAGAAAGTAGTGAAATAAATCAGGGGATCGCTAGTAAATAAAATGGGGATAATTCCAGCATTGTTCTTATTAAAATCTATTATTTTTTTGTGGAATCTGAAAAACACTGAATATTCAAATCTTAAATTCATATTCGAATATCAACTCATCGAATGAATATTCGAATGTTCGCATATTCGTTGACATCCCTAATAATTTTGGAATTGAGGAATTTACCCCCATGCATAACGTGCTAGTTACTAATTCTCGTAATTAACAACACATGTAAATATCCACGTTTACAGTTCATGAAAGGGCGATGTGGATGTGTAACAAATCAATTTGATGTTGATGACTTACATAGAGCAACTGGATCACTCTCCAGCCCCGGAGTGGCAGATATCAAACGCTCCAATGCCTCTGGGCTGTTTAAGATCCTTTCTATCTGAAATTGACAATTACGGTATTTGAATTTCTTACTCAATTAACAATTGGCAAGTGGTTGTCAATATTTCAACTTGTCACTCATTCTTCAAAGGAGTAATAAATAATGGACAGATGACTGCCAAAGTTTTCAGATATGGTATGCAAAATTTCTAAAATGAAAATTATCAAACTTAGAACCCAAAGGCCATCATATCAACACTTTTGCAGACTATTTCATTTGAGTAAATTTTCACTCATAGTGTTTTTACATGAAGGAATGAATAATAAATGGTCACTCACAGTGTTTTTACATGAAGGATTTAACAATGCAGATTGCAACGTCACCACCAGCTGTCTCATAGCCATGTCAGACATCTTTTCTAAAAAAAGTTCATAAAAATGATTGGAAAAAAAGTAGCAGTTATGTATAGACACTACAAAATCTAAACTAGAACTTGTCCGAAATGGACAAATACCCCGCTGGGTTTTCATAGAAGGTATCAATTAAATCACTAAAAGTATTTTATGGATTTAGAGGTGCTTTTTGTAAACAATTTCTAAACATTGACAGTCAAAATTTAATTGCTCGTTATATTTTTTAATGAATGATGAACTAAGCCACAGTCTAATAAAACATCAAAATACTAATCAGTATATTGTTTTTTATTAGCTCGTACAACTTTATTGTAACCAACTGTCATCTTTGTGCAACATGACACACACACAAAAATACCTGGTAAAAATATAAAATTATACAATATCAAAATAGTCTTAATAATTTTATACCAAATTGATTTTGAAAATAAAAGGCAGCTGGACATCAAGTAACTATGTATTTTAATTCCACTTTCAAAATGACTCACTTGTATTTAATAAATTAATGTTTTATTGCAATCAGACCAAAACAGTGAAGACTGTAGGTGGAGAAGCATTTTGAAAGAAATTCACAAAAATTTCTATTTTCAATTTAATCATAGCATCAATGTTTCTTGAAATTAAAAACTGTTACACTTGTGTATACCACTTTATATAGGAATCAGACTAAAACTGCAGGAGTAGCATTATGAAAAATTGTTTACAAACAGACAGAATAACAGATAAACAGAGTGATTACTACCAGTACAGGGCACCCACAAATTCTTGTAAGTAACCATATCAATACCAATCATCAAAAATTTTCAAATTCAAAAACTGATGAATACACAAAGCAAGTCAATGAGTTGGCATATACTAATTTATCTTCTCCAAGGATCATACACTATATGGTACCAGTCTAAATAATACCGTGTACCAGTATTTTTACAGATTCTCTGTTGACTAGCCTCACAGAATCTTAAGCCATTCCTACCTGGTGATTTTGTAGGCTCCTTTTTGTACTTTTTTACCACGTACAAGGTGACTCCATCTCTTAATCCATATGCATCCACAGGCTTTTGTTCATCTAAACACTGTCCACAGTATATGACCTCTGTTGAAACATAAAATTCAAGACATTAAATGATAATACGAGACACAGCAATATATAAACATAAACATTTTAAAAGTTCCTATTTCTGTTTGTTACATTTTTCATTTAGTATTATTTTTTACAAAGTTTTCAATAATCTATCTTCAACAGTTAACAAAAAAACTAAGGTTGTCATATCAGTAAAAATCTGATAGCACCCCCCCCCCACCCTCTCCAACAAAATCAAATTCCAGCAGGGTTCAACACTAATACATTAGTCAGTTAGTCTCAGACTAATACATTTTCATTCGGACTAATAAAATCTGTGGCTAATTACCTGGTAGTCCAAACATACCATTAAAAATTTCTGGAAAACAAAAATGAATAAAATACTGCTATTCGATTCTCGACAACTTTTACTGGTAAACCTATTTGTATTTTTAGCTTTCTAGCTTCTTGGCACTTTGTTTATTTCATAAAAGTATAAAAAGTTCATTGTAATATTTATTTTTAAATTAATCATTACAAAACATTGATTTTCCTTTGTTCGACGGACTCATAAAATAGTGTGTGGACTAGTAAGAGTAAAGAAGCACTAGTCCAGCCAGACTAAAGCCTAAAAATGTTAGTGACGAACCCTGTCCAGTAAACGGTTATGCATCTAATGATTTGAGTTGATGTAAAGTTATTGGTTATTGTTATCCAGGCCCACACACTTGAAATGATCTAAATAGTTAGGGGTGAAACGATACACCTCCTTCACTGTTCAATACATATTGTATAATTTTGTCTCGGTACAGTTATATTCGATACAATACATTTTGATAGAAGGAAATAAATTCAAGTGAATGTTGTTTCAAGCTTTCTTTAACTAAATCTAGTCACTTAATTTACGAATTTTATTTGCATATTGACTAGAAGAATTGATTAGAATTATTTGACTGTCAAAAATTATTTTACAAACTATCAGTCCTCAATAATTTACGTTTCCTATACTTACTTATACTGAGTAACATGTTTTACCTTACGACAAACCCGACTGAATAACGATCCCGACCGAAAAATGAACTGAACCGAAAGGTAGAGATTTTGCACCGTGTATCAAACCAAGAAAAAATGCCGCGGTGAATCGATACCGCGTTGAACTGTTTCATTCCTACAAATAGTTTGTTCTACTTGGGACATAAAGGGTATCTGTCCATTTGTCCTTTCTCTCTGTTTGCATGAGTCCAGTTGCCCTATATCCTGTTCACCCTGTTGTAAATATTATGTACATAACATCAACATAAATTAGGAAATTAACTGACTTTCACATTCAAAATAAAATCATATAAAATAAAGGCAAATGGACCTTGGGTGATCAAGTTTTAGAGCATACAGATCTAAGCAAATGAGAATTAGGGCAAATGGTGTCAAGGAAAAAGGTGTTTTTGGGTGAACAAATTAACATACATTCGACAAAAAGTACTGGTACACATTTGAAGCAGAGTTTATCTCATCTTTCCTCTGCAGTACCAATTAACTATTCTCTAAAGTCTCTAGAGATATAGACCAGTCTAGACGAACTCTAAAAACGGCGTGAACTCCGAAAACGAAGTCTTTGGCTCCATCATGCATTGCGGCAAAATGGCCTCCGATGTAAACAAACGATGGGTTGTCGTTCGCTTTCTCCAAATATACGGCTGCATAATGGCTGTATTTAGTGCATTGTGACTTTATTTTAATTTTTGTTGAATGGATAATTATATTTATTAAATTATTTTTTGGATATTGACTTATTCATTGCTTCAAACTCTTGCATAGTAGTAAATTGGATATATGACATCGAATTCAATACTGCCGGTAAGAATTATTTTCTTATTTGATTTATTGCCTCCTTGATTTAAATTTTATGTTGTTCATACAATATAGGTGCTTTTATTTGTTTTTGAAGACACCCAGCTTGTATTTATTTCAATTAGAAAATGCGTATTTTTCACCTCGGAGCAGATATATTCACAGGTTCATTTTTCGAAGACAAGTTGTGACCTTAATTTCTAGAAGAGTGGTTTTTAAAGATTTCATATTGATAGCTAATAGTTTTAAAAAGGTTTTCATAATAATATCTGTTCGTATGTGATAAAAAAATCAGTAAATAACGACGGTAAGAACTTGCGTGTTCAATTCAGATGTCGTACACAAATAAAAATACCGGAATGCTAATTTATGTGTAAAATTCAGTCAAGTTTTTAACAGTTACAATATATATTGTCCCATTTTGCATATATATCCCTTTTATTATGCATATTTACTTCTCAAGCATATCATTTTCTCTGTAATTGACCTGACTTCAAACATCAACTTTGAAAGTAAAAATCTCCTTTTTTGCAAATAAAAAATCTGACAAATACGATCTCTTCCGAAGTCTTTTATTTAGCAATACTGAGTACTGGCATAATTGCCATACTTTTCAAAACTTTGCACAGACAGTTTTTGTAGACCTATCATTTTTGCCGAAAAATCGCCATTTTTTGTGCGTGTGCGCATGCGCGGACTCTATTTTCGGAGTCTTTTTCAGTCTCAATTTCTTACTTCCGGGAACTCTGTTTTTGGAGTTCGTCTAGACTGTAGACAGGCATAGCCATATCCATGGATGTAGGCCCATGCATGCCTGTCTACTTCTCTCTTGAGAATACTGATGATGTTAAAGGTTGCATGACGACTTTGTATCCAAGCCCAGCAATTTGTCGCTGTCATAAATTGCAGATTGGCAATGAAAAGGCTAAGTTGAAATACAATACTGTACTTTATGAAACTATTAAACGCTTTAGACTTAACAGGTCGTTCAAACTTATGCTACAGGTTGTGCACTGCAGTCAGCTGAGCACAACGTCGAAGTCTTACCAAACTCTGTATCAGACGTTTTTATTTTCTTTGAAATTCCCTCTTTGAGCTGTTTAACTGAACCTTTAAAATTTACAGAGCTGATCTTTACTTTCTCTGACTTTCCCGTTTCTATACGGGAAAATCTATAAGCCCGTTATCTGAAACAACCGGAAGCCCGTGAAGTCAAGTACACAAAAAATGCATACGTCATTTTTACTTTCGCTTTTAACTTGCAGCCGAGCTATCGACAATCATTCATTTGAAAGTGATCAGGCTATGTGTAAATATCTTCAATGGCAGAATCGGTAACAGGGATTAGATTAGAAAGTAGAGACGAAAAGTGTATACGAGGTTGGGTTTTGTCAGAGGAAATCCTTCAGCAATTCATTGAACAGTTGAAGTACTTTCAATCAGCACGGGATGTCAATATGTGTCGTGGTAAGTATAAGATTTGTTTTAAAAGATTAGTATTTTTCCGGACGGAAATGTTAATTTTATGAAATATGCCCATATCTTCGAAACATGTAATCTATTTAATAGACTAACTTATAGTAAGTTACATGTTATCAATAAATGACATTTTCATATTAGATCTATTTAAACTTTCTAAGCCCGTTGCAAATTTACGAATTATTTTCTTTTAAGAAAATTAATTACGGAGAGGAAATATAGACTTTAAAAAGTTCTATGGAAAGTTTTTAACTTTAAAAACTAATTTATAATTCAGTTTTAAAAAAGAGACCTTTATTTAAAAAATTAAACAGACATAAAAAATGCACATATTATTTTTTCAGAAATTCATATCCAAATAAGGGGGATGTATCATATTCTATCAGAAAGATAGATTCCTTATTTCCAAATCAGGGCCCGTTCAGGCATCACAAACAACAAGCATTCATGATTATACATGTACAATTACATGTACAAACAGCACAGACTAATTTTATGTATACTAAATAATATAAACTCAGAGAAAAAAGGGGAAGGGTTGAGAGTCACCCAAAAAATTCTTGAAATCACCTACTGATTTCAAAGAAAATAGTTCATATTGCCCTATGTATGCATGACATTGTTCAAACCAGAAATATGACAATCTTGTTATATCAAGATCAAGTACTGAGTAAGAGGCCCGTGATTTCAATGACACCCTATATAGAACTGAGTCTGAGGCCCGTAACTTCACCAACTCCCTATACATGTATAGAACTGAGTCTGAGGCCCGTGACTTCACCGACACCCTATATAGAACTGAGTCTGAGGCCCGTGACGTACTTCACCGACACCTTATATAGAACTGTGTCTAAGGCCCGTGACTTCACCGACACCCTATATAGAACTGAGTCTGAGGTCCGTGACATCACCGACACCCTATATAGAACTGAGTATGAGGCCCGTGACTACACCAACACCCTATATAGAAGTATAATAGAACTGAGTCTGAGGCCCGTGACTTCAACGACACCCTATATAGAACTGAGTCTGAGGCCCGTGACTTCACCGACACCCTATATAGAACTGAGTCTGAGGTCCGTGACATCACCGACACCCTATATAAAACTGAGTATGAGGCCCGTGACTTCACCGACACCCTATATAGAAGTATAATAGAACTGAGTCTGAGCCCGTGACTTCAACGAAACCCTATATAGAACTGAGTCTGAGGCCCGTGACTTCACCGACACCCTATATAGTAATGAGTATGACGCCCATGACTTCATCGACACCCCATATAGTATTGAGTATGAGGCCCATGACTTCACCCTATATAGAACTGAGTCTGAGGCCCGTGACTTCAACGACATCCTATATAAAACTGAGTCTGAGGCCCTTGACTTCACCGACATCCTATATAGAACTGGGTCTGAGACCTGTGACTTCACCGACACCTTATATAGAACTGAGTCTGAGGCCCATGATTTCACCGACACCCTATATAGAACTGAGTCTGAGGCCCGTGACTTCACCGACACCCTATATAGAACTGAGTCTGAGGCCCGTGACTTCACCGACACCCTATATAGAAGTATAATAGAACTGAGTCTGAGGCCCGTGACTTCAACGACACCCTATATAGAACTGAGTCTGAGACCCATGACTTCACCGAAACCCTATATAGAACTGAGTCTGAGACTCGTGACTTCACTGACACCCTTTATAGTAATGAGTATGAGGCCCATGACTTCATCGACAACCCATATAGTATTGAGTATGAGGCCCATGACTTCAGCGACACCCTATATAGAACTGAGTCTGAGGCCCGTGACTTCACCGACACCCTATATAGTAATGAGTATGACGCCCATGACTTCATCGACACCCCATATAGTATTGAGTATGAGGCCCATGACTTCACCCTATATAGAACTGAGTCTGAGGCCCGTGACTTCACCAACATCCTATATAAAACTCAGTATGAGGCCCGTGACTTCACCGACACCCTATATAGAACTGAGTCTGAGGCCCGTGACTTCACCGACACCTTAAATAGAACTGAGTCTGAGGCCCGTGACTTCACCGACACCCTACATAGAACTGAGTCTGAGGCCCGTGACTTCACCAACACCCTATATAGAACTGAGTCTGAGGCCCGTGACTTCAACGACACCTTAAATAGAACTGAGTCTGAGGCCCGTGACTTCACCGACACCCTATATAGAACTGAGTCTGAGGCCCGTGACTTCACCGACACCATATATAAAACTGAGTATGAGGCCAGTGACTTCAAGGACACCCTATATAGAACTGAGTCTGAGACCCGTGACTTCACCGAAACCCTATATAGAACTGAGTCTGAGACCCGTGACTTCACTGACACCCTATATAGTAATGAGTATGAGGCCCATGACTTCATCGACAACCCATATAGTATTGAGTATGAGGCCCATGACTTCACCGACACCCTATATAGAACTGAGTCTGAGGCCCGTGACTTCACCGACACCATATATAGAACTGAGTATGAGGCCCGTGACTTCAACGACACCCTATATAGAACTGAGTCTGAGACCCATGACTTCACCGAAACCCTATATAGAACTGAGTCTGAGACCCGTGACTTCACTGACACCCTATATAGTAATGAGTATGAGGCCCATGACTTCATCGACAACCCATATAGTATTGAGTATGAGGCCCATGACTTCACCGACACCCTATATAGAACTGAGTCTGAGGCCCGTGACTTCACCGAAACCCTATATAGAACTGAGTCTGAGACCCATGACTTCACCGACACCTTATATAGAACTGAGTCTGAGGCCCATGACTTCACTGACACCTTATATAGAACTGAGTCTGAGGCCCATGACTTCACCGACACCTTATATAGAACTGAGTCTGAGGCCCATGACTTCACTGACACCCTTTATAGAAATGAGTCTGAGGCCCGTGACTTCATTGACACCCTATATAGAACTGAGTCTGAGGCCCGTGACTTCACAGACACCCTATATAGAACTGAGTCTGAGACCCGTGACTTCACAGACACCCTATATAGTACTGTGTATGAGGCCCGTGACTTCATGGACACCCCATATAGTATTAAGTCTGAGGCCCATGACTTCACAGACACCCTATATAGAACTGAGTCTGAGGCCCATGACTTCAATGACACCCTATATAGAACTGAGTCTGAGGCCCATGACTTCACCGACACCCTATATAGAACTCAGTATGAGGCCCGTAACTTCATCGTCACCCCATATAGAACTGAGTCTGAGGCCTGTGACTTCACCGACACCCTATATAGAACTGAGTATGAGGCCCGTGACTTCATCAACACCCCATATAGTACTGAATCTGAGGCCCGTGACTTCACTGACACCCTATATAGAACTCAGTATGAGGCCCTTGACTTCACGGACACCCTATGGAGTACTGAGTCTGAGGCCGTGACTTCATCGACACCCCATATAGTATTGAGTCTGAGGCCCGTGACTTCACCAACATCCTATATAAAACTCAGTATGAGGCCCGTGACTTCACCGACACCCTATATAGAACTGAGTATGAGGCCCGTGACTTCACCGACACCCTAATATAGAAGTATAATAGAACTGAGTCTGAGGCCTGTGACTTCAACGACACCCTATATAGAACTGAGTCTGAGACCCATGACTTCACCGAAACCCTATATAGAACTGAGTCTGAGACCCGTGACTTCACTGACACCCTATATAGAACTGAGTCTGAGACCCATGACTTCACCGAAACCCTATATAGAACTGAGTCTGAGACCCATGACTTCACCGACACCTTATATAGAACTGAGTCTGAGGCCCATGACTTCACCGACACCCTATATAGAACTGAGTCTAAGGCCCGTGACTTCAATGACACCCTATATAGAACTGAGTCTGAGACCCGTGACGTACTTCACCGACACCTTATATAGAACTGAGTCTAAGGCCCGTGACTTCACCGATACCCTATATAGAACTGAGACTGAGGCCCGTGACATCACCGACACCCTATATAGAACTGAGTCTGAGGCCCGTGACTTCACCGACACCCTATATAGAAGTATAATAGAACTGAGTCTGAGGCCTGTGACTTCAACGACACCCTATATAGAACTGAGTCTGAGGCCCGTGACTTCACCAACACCCTATATAGTAATGAGTATGAGGCCCATGACTTCATCGACAACCCATATAGTATTGAGTATGAGGCCCATGACTTCACCGACACCCTATATAGAACTGAGTCTGAGACCCATGACTTCACCGACACCTTATATAGATCTGAGTCTGAGGCTCATGACTTCACCGACAACCCTATATAGAACTGAGTCTGAGGCCTGTGACTTCAGCAACACCCTATATAGTACTGAGTCTGAGCCTCTTGGCTTAACTGACACCCTATAGAACCACTATGGACAGTCAAAGTTGTGCATAATTAGGAATATTTAGGAAAAATCTTCTCAAGAACAGCAAAGCCATGATGAGTCATATTTTTATGGAAGCATCCTCAGATAGTGTAAATTCAAGTTTGTTGAAATCAGGACCCCCGGGGGTAGGGTGGGGCCACTATGGACTATCAAAGTTTTACATAGAAATATATAGGAAACATCTTTAAAAATCTTCTTCTCAAGAACAGCAAAGCCCTGATTGATCATATTTATGTGGAAGCATC